ACTGCACTTTTATTTTACCCATGATAGAGTGACATTGCAGGTACTCCCCTGGGTGAGGGCTGCAGCGCACGTTGGCACAATGAGGCTAGGCCCCATCGCTGTGTTTCATTCCCCTCCCTGCCAAGCCTAGAGTTCCCTGCAGCTGACCACTCTTCTCTTCCTTTGCAGATCAGCACACAATGGAAAACTATACCACTGACCTAGGTGACATGGATGTAACAACATTTGACTATGGTGATTCAGCACCATGCCCAGGAACTGAGGAAAAGCACTTTGCAGCAAATTTTCTGCCACCGCTTTACTCATTAGTGGTGATATTTGGCTTCATAGGCAACATTCTTGTTATCCTCATCCTGGTAAAATACAAGAAGTTGAAGAGTATGACTGACATCTACCTGCTCAATCTGGCCATTTCTGATTTGCTTTTTATATTTTCTCTTCCTTTTTGGGCTTATTATGCTGCTCACGACTGGATTTTTGGAGAAGCGCTGTGCCGGATCCTCTCAGGCATTTACCTCCTTGGCTTCTACAGCGGCATCTTTTTCATAATCCTGCTGACCATAGACAGGTATCTGGCCATAGTTCACGCAGTGTTTGCTTTAAAAGCTAGGACAGTTACCTACGGCATCCTCACCAGCATTGTCACGTGGGCTGTTGCTCTTTTTGCCTCTGTTCCTGGGATAGTATTTCACAAAACTCAACAGGAGAACAGACGGTGTACATGCAGCGCTCATTATCCGCAGGAGCGGAGAGATGAATGGAAGCAATTCCTGGCCTTAAAGATGAACATCCTAGGACTTGTTATTCCTATGATAATTATGATCTGCAGCTACACACAAATCATAAAGACATTGCTACAATGTAGGAATGAGAAGAAAAATAAAGCCGTCAGGCTTATATTTATCATCATGATTGTATACTTTTTTTTCTGGGCACCATATAACATTTGTATTCTCTTGCGTGATTTTCAAGATTCATTTTCTATCACTAGTTGTGAAACCAGTGGGCAACTGCACAAAGCAACCCAAGTGACCGAAACAATTTCAATGATCCATTGCTGTATCAATCCTGTCATTTATGCCTTTGCTGGAGAAAAGTTTAGGAAGTATCTTCGTAGCTTTTTCCGAAAGCAAATTGCATCCCACTTCTCTAAATATTGCCCAGTTTTCTATGCCGACACAGCTGAACGGGCCAGCTCCACCTACACACAGTCTACTGGAGAGCAAGAAGTTTCTGCTGCACTGTAGGTTGTGCCTAACAAAAAAAAAAAAGTGGAATTGACTTTTTTGAAATCAAGTCTATGACGAAAGCCTGGAGAATCTCTTCTGGACACTGTCTCTAATGCATCTGCGCAAGGTCATGGCACACAGCTAGCAAAGCTGTTATTTGCTCATAACAGCGCGGAATTGTACATAAATGAAATGGATGTACCAAATTAGCTATGAAGATGTGGTAACAGAATTCTGTGGCAAACAAAAAGGAAAAAAAAGCTTTTTTTTTGGTGGAAGTAGAAGCATAGTTACATGCTACAGAGACTAGAAACATACCTAAGCTGAGAGTCTAACCTAGCAGACTTATAAACTGATCTTCTGAAGTGACCTAGTGATTAGAAAATGACATTGCTTCTTTGGAAACACCTCTTCACTGTATTTTACACAAGATATTTCATTCATTTAAACTCAGTCTTGGTCCCATCCTTTATTAGCGTGGTTGCATAACTCTGTAAATAATGCTAAATTACTGAGGTTTGTGATGAAAAAGCTTTACAGTCGTTATGGGAAAACTATGCATTTTGGGAAGACGCCAATATTCCAAGGCATATTTTCCTTTGTGCATGGTTGGCTACTGGCCTTTCAGATCTTCCTTCTAGTAATTTAACAACAGTCTGAGCTACTAAGTGTTGCCATCTAAGTTAATTAGGAGTTTGATATTTCAGAATGCTCTTTTGATAAACTGCAGTTTTATATGCTACTTGTATTAACAACAAATACAATGGTCTGTCACTGATCAGTAAATCAACGTGTTTGCAATATTTTAAAACTAAAGTACTATACACGGAGCTTTAACCGTGTTAGATCAAGTGCAGATAATAAGGCTTCTTCAGCTTCTTAGTGCAGTGATTTTGTTTGCCATTTTTCTAGCCTACATAAAATAACAACTTTAAAATGCGAAATTAATGGAACTGTAATGGCTGCAAAAACACCACAGCATTAAAGGTGTGAAAATGTTTGACCCAGATCTTTTTGAAGATAAGAATATGCTATAGACATTTTTCAAAACAAACACACGCACAAAAAAAGTAAAAGGATTCACTAATGCACAAAGCCAAAAACACACAGCATCTCCCTCACTTCTGAAGAAGGCATAATTTGGGGGCAATTGCTGTGCTTTTTTTCTTCCTGCTTCGTGGAAGTTTTCTACAAAGCAAAAGCTTCCATAATTCTTCCATATTTAGCAAGACTGATGCTCAACTATAACTGGGTTTTCCATTAAAGTTAGATCTGACAGAGCACATGAACACAGAGAACATGAAATAAGGGGGTACTCAGGTGATTAAGGTCATGCTTTTGTCACAATACAAACTGTTTTACATCAAGCTTGCATAGCATTTCTATCATTTCTTATATTTCCCCTAATACTTCTGGTTTTGGACAACTCTGGAGATTCTGGAGGAATATAAAAGTGAGTATTTTAATGGCTGTTCTGATCCAGTAGGGTAATGTCTGTTTCCCCGTTGCCCTGGATAGCCTTTTTAAAAAAAATAAGTTTTTCAAATAAACAGTTCCAAGTATCAAAGAAATTTTACATTGCCAAGTGCTTGTGAAAGCAGGAAGTGAAATAGGGAAATATTTGCTCATCAGACCACTATTTATTGTGTTTTGTCACATTAAGCGCTACTTTTGGACTACTTCCACATGGGAAACATAACAAAACCATATTATGCTTTCAGAAGTTTGGGTTTTTTTTCAGCTTCACATTTTTAAGACACTGTGCAGCAATTACTACTATCAGTATAACCAGAAATTGGATAATTTCAGTATGAAGAGACAAACATCTGCATTTCTTTTTTAAAGAGAAAGGAAGCTACATGCAGTAACATAGGTAGGGTTGTTTGTGTATGTTTTGTCTCTTCTACATAACTCTTATAAAATGCTTTCATATTTTATTCTGTTCTTGCTAAGAATTTTGGGGGTTGGACTTGATGATCTCTGGAGGTCCCTTCCAACAATTCTGCGATTCTATGATTTCTATTCAGATCCTAAGATACTTTGTCTTTAAGGAATTACTTGCTCTAGAAGGCTTTGGTGCCAAGTGGGGTACTGACCAGCTCTGCAGGAGCAATGCGCAATAAAACGAATGTGCAAGAGCAAACTGACAAGGCTTTCTGAGAGGTACGTAAAAAGAAGAGCCCCAGTCCTTTGCAGTGTTCTCTCCTACAGCATGGATCTTTTCAAGGGACAGCTTCCCCAGCACAGAGCTGAAAAGTAGAGACTCTTGGCCTAACAGATCATCAGCTTATCAAGAGTTAGTCACTTCAGAGAATCATGGAACGGTTTGTGTTGGAAGGGACCTTTAAAATCATCTGGTTCTAATCCCTGGTATAGGCAGGGACACCTCCCTTTACACCAGGTTGCTCAAGGCCCCATCCAGCCTGGCTTTGAATACTTCCAGGGAGGGGGCATCAACAGCCTTCCCCACTGAGAAGAGACTGTACTTCAGCAAATTACAATACACCAGATTTCAGTAACTGTAACACACTTGGATCCAAATTCAAGAAAAAAAAAAATGGAAAATACAGTATTTGGCAGCACAGGTGCATTCAGTTAAAGACTGCCAACAGACAGCCATAATATTTTGTATCATGCAGTTCATTAAAGGTTGTTAACTTCTGCACATGAGACTGCTCAATCCTTTCTCCCTCCTCCATCTCCTTGTCTTAGAATAGCCCATAAGAATGAAAAATGAAGAGAAATCCCTCCTCATCACAGGTTGCTGTACCGCTGAAAGAGCAGGCAGTAAAACCCAGGGGCTTATAAGCAAAGAACCAGCACCATTTGGTAACACAAGGCCAGCGCAACAACTTTTAGCACTTTGGAGTGCCAGTGAAGGCTGCCTGTCCCTAATTATCTATTAACAGACATGCTCTTTTGGGTCCCTAATTACCTATTAACAGGCATACTATTTTGGTTGATATTTCACTTGGTTTTGTGCACTGAGATAGGAAGAGCGCAATCTCACAGACTGCCTCTTAACTCACTCAGATCCCGAGAAGTTAAGCTTTTATTTTGTTTAACGTCTGTCCCCCCTAGTGCCAGAGAAGCCTACCTCTGAGTACACCATCAGCCTGCTCGGTTCTGAGGTGACGGTGCCATCTCGTGGCCAAACGGTAGCGCTTGTCAGCTGCAGTCCTACGACTCACTAGCAATACTTCTTGTTGCCGTCCTTGTAAAATGACCACCTCCAGTACAGGCAGCACGGAAGCAACAGCAAGCCTTAGGAAATATTAATGGCAACTAAAGAGCGGAGTCCGATTAAGATCCGTGAAAGGAGAGGGAGAAGGAGAGGGAGAAGGAGCGTGAGGAGCCACGTGAGGAGGCAGCCGCCAGCCGCGCTCACCCATTACTCCCCACACAGCTGCACGCGCCCTTCCCGCCCTCTGACAACGGCAGCGCCTCCAACGGGCGCCCGGTAGCAGCGCAAGCGAGGTGCGAGTCACTATATAGTACCGCCCGCCCCTCCCAGCCCAGGCCACGCCCCTCGACTGGACAACGCCCCCCTGTCCTTCCCGCGCATGCGCAATGTGAGTCGCCGTTTTCCCGCCCGCCGCGATACTGCAGGGCGCTGTGTGAGGGGTGGGCTCGGTGTCAGGGGATGCCGTGGGGGCAGCGTCCCACTGGCAGCACCGAGCACACAGCGGTGCTGGGGTTGGGGAGGGAGCGGGAGCTCTGGGTTGGGCGTGTAGGGCGGTGGCTGAGCCTCAGTGCGAGGAAGGGCCCCGGGGGGAAGGGGGGGGCTGCCGGTGGGATCGGCGCGCGAATCTCACCGGGGTTTGCTTCTCAGTTAAAGGATGAAAGGCAGCAAGGAGCTGTTCTTGGTGAAATTCGTAAAATCTTCTGGGAGTTCGGAGTATTTCTTGAAAGCTTTGGAGGTAGGTGTAAGCTGTGGGCCTGCTGGATGTTCCGCTGAGGTGATCTCGGTGGTGAATGCAGCCTGCGTGTGTACATCTGGGAATAACGCTGCACTTACCTAACAGAAGTGTTTCAGAGCAATCATACTGACCAGGTTGAACAAGTGATTCTGTCAAAACTTGCTGACGTTGAGCAAAGTGCCGGGTAGGCCCAGAAGGTCCATGTGATGGTTATTTATCCACCTTAACAGGAAGAATGTGGAGCTTTTTCCTAGCTGGAGAGGTTTGACAGAGCTGAAGGCACTGTATGACAAGCTCAGTTCGTATGCAGTGTTTAAGTCTGAACTGTGAAAAGCTGGGGGCTGAGGGAGGCTCTTTAGATGCCTTATGTCTGTTCTGCCCTGTACTATTCAGGGTGGCTCTGCTGGGGGCTGTTTCAAGTACATGTGTTTTTGTAATTTCCACAGTATTAACTATTTGTGGTTTATCAATTAAATAAATGTGGTCATATGCATTGTTTTCTTGCAGTCTATAAAAGAATTTCAGTCTGAAGAACATCTCCAGATTCTTGAAGAAGAAGCAGCACTCAATATAAAAGAAAATGATAAATCCCTTTACATTTGTGATCCTTTCACTGGTGTTGTTTTTAATCATCTCCAAAAGGTATGCTACACATCCACTTATACCAGCTATATTCTTTCCTGTCTAGGAGCTCTTATGGATGTTCTTAGACTGCACATTTTGTGTTCTTGCACTAAATACAGTAGTATGCAGTATTCACAATGAAATCTTTAGAGCTTTGGTGCATGCTGTATTTAGTGGAGAAGACAACTAGTAAAGTGTAAGGATTATTAAGAAGTAGTGGAAAACTAAATATTGTGGTCAGTGCTGATTTTGCTGGAATCAGGGAGCTGGCTCTCGCTTTTTTTTCTCCTGAGTAACATGTTTTTGTTTGACAGGCAGGAAATTGTCCAGCAGACAAAGATAGGCTGTCTGGAATCCAATGGCATGTTAGCTATAGGATGTACTGTTTTTATCAAGCCCAGAAAGCTTAAGAAGGTTGTACTGCAAATTTCCAACAGAATGTGAAAACAAAACTGTCACTTATCTAGTAAAGCTAGACAAGGATAGGCAAGGGCCCTGCCTTCCCCAGGATTCCTCAGGTACAAAGCAAACATTCCTTGCTCCAGTGTACCTTCTGCTCATTTTCTTTGTTTTGTTTCTTTTCCATGTTATTTAATTCAGCTTGGTTGTAGAATTGTTGGACCACAGGTAGTCCTGTATTGCATGCAATCCCAGAGATGCGTCCCAAGAGCTGAGTATCCCGTGTATAACATGACCATGGCTGACGTAACGATATCCTGTACCACCCTAGATAAAGATGTTCGGGTAACGTATTGTACACAGTGGATGGTTTAGCAGGTTTTTCTGTGGCATGTGCTTTGTTTATTGCTATGGCATCAGTCATAGTATATGCAACTGTGATATGATAACTGTGCCTATGCCTATGTCTGATCTTTCTGTGGTTTGTAGACTATCTGTCATTTATGTAGAGAACTATGGAGAAAAAGGAAGTCTTTTTATAATGTTTGATATACAAGCATGCATGTAGTGGTGTATCTACATCACAAAAGCGTATGTAACATTGTAAAGTAGTCATTAATATGGGAATATGTGTAGTATGTAACACTGTAAAGTAGTCATTAGTATGGGAATATGTGTACATTTGAGGATTTTTTTATTTGCTGATTGAGGGATCTGTTGGCCAGCTATCATGCTGAAGACAACATATTTCTGGTTTTTCAGTCTGCAGTTAACATTAATTATCCAGCCAGCTGTACTTCACATGAGTTATGCTAAACTCTCCTTTTTATATATTACAACATTGTCGTTTTATATATGCTACCTGAAAGAACAACCACCAGTAAATTTTTTTACTTATGGTAGTAACATCTTTACTTTACTTTTACTTATTATATTGTTTACTGTCCATGCAAATAAAGTGGAATTGACATTTTTGATTAGTTTTTAGAAGAAACCACTGAGAATTGAAACTGATTTATTTTTGAATGTGACGTAGGTTCCTAATTATTTTTTTTCTTTTGATGATTTTCTGTAATTTCTCTATTCAGGAAGAAGTTCATAAATATGTACAAATGATGGGTGGACGTGTGTACAGAGACCTCAATATGTCAGTAACTCATCTTATAGCAGGAGAAGTTGGCAGCAAGAAATACTTAGTAGCTGCTTCTCTGAAAAAACCTATTTTGCTTCCTTCTTGGGTTAAGACACTATGGGATAAATCTCAGCAAAGGTAATGGAAACTGGAACGAAGTAAAACTTACTTTGTGTTGGGTCCCAGTAATTCTTATGGTTATGCACACTGCTTGCTTTTTCTAATTGAGACCAAAAAAAAGCATATTTCTTTTCCCCCTTTCATTCTTTTAGCATGATGAGATATACGGATGTTAACATGGAAGACTACACTTGTCCTGTGTTTCTTGGCTGTACGATTTGTGTAACTGGCTTAAGTAGTTCAGACAGGAAAGAAGTCCAGCGCCTCACGGCTGAACATGGTGGGCAGTATTCAGGGCAACTCAAGATGAATGAATGTACTCACCTCATAGTTCAAGAGCCAAAAGGTAAAACTTACAGTGTGCGTATTATTTTCCCTCCTTGACTTGAAGTAGCGTTGCTCTTGCTGCTTCTGTATAGAAAAGTGGTGTTGATGGGAAGAGTAGCATGAGGCACTCTTACCTTGCTCTAAATGTTAGAATGTGCTGGCACTGGCTCTATATCACAGTTTATTCAGTAGATAGAGCAAAATAAAACTGAAAAACTTCTTGTAGGTGGAGCTTATCAAAAGTGTATGGCAAGACGACATACTGTTAGCAGTGCTGTTAGTGGTGAAACCCTTGATGAAAGCTCTGCAGAGGGCTTCTTCATACTTTGCTGGTTTATAATGGTTTCGTGCCCTGTGATGCAGTACCATGAGCTCACTGTCAAGGAGATTTTATTCCAACTTTAAATAAAGGCAAGTAAATAGCAGCTCATGAGATGAGTTCAAGGTAGTACAACTTGCACCCCAAAATCAGTTATTTGAGTTTTCAGATTTTAATGTGCATCCATCTTTCAGTGAACACAGATGCACCAGTCTTTTAGTAACTTGCATTTTTTTTAAATTTTATTTTACCTTGAAAGGTCAGAAGTACGAATGTGCCAAAAAATGGAACGTCCACTGTGTGCCTGTGCAGTGGTTTTCTGACAGCATTGAGAAGGGCTTCTGTCAAGATGAGGCAATGTATAAAATAGAGACTGGATCAAAACTAAGCAGTACACCCAGTACCTCCACACCCACCAGTCATGCCAGCAAGCTTGACAGTAAGTAACACCTTTTAGAATGCATTTAAGGTAAGGTATAAAACGTTTGGAATAGAAAGAAGGAAGAACTATTTAAATTTAGTAGAGTGCTCTCTACTTTTGTAGTGATAATGTTTTGAAACTTGGTTTCTGCTTTGCGTATGCAAAAAGCTGAAAAGGCACATAAGCACTGTTTCTAGTAAGAACAATATTCAGATACGTGTGTAAATAAAACCTTGGTTTAACCAAGGCCTTACTTATCTGCTCTTCAGACTACATTTTCTTTTAGTGCAACAAAATCAAGTGTGACATCTATTTTTTTTTTCTTTTTCAATTAAGTAATGGAAAGAGAGGAGCCAAAAGTAATGCATCTTCTTTTGTTTCCATTACAGCTCATTCCCTTTCGGACGTCAGCTGCATTTCCAATGTAAATTTGAGTAGAGTTAATGAAACTGCCTGTAGTTCTGCAACGAGCAGCAGACTGGATCCTCCTCCTGATGAGTTGGAGAACTTGGACATAAGCACTTTTCAAGCTCCTGAAGATTTATTAGATGGCTGTCGAGTATGTTTAACAATAGACTTATTCCAAATGTTCCATCTTCACATGTGGAAGCACACTAGATTGAGGTGCTGGCAGTTGCTCCTAGAGAAAATTATGTTGCTTTATCAGCAGCAAGTAACACGTTTCTGTTCAATTTATATACTAGCTTTTGTGTGCCAGGAGCATAAAAAATAAATTCATTATATTAAATGTATAATATGCCTGCATTTTCATAAACATACTTTTAAATACAGTAGTGAATGGGTTCCAGAAATGGTGTGTGATTTTGCTTTTTGTTACTTTGTTTTGTTTATACAACTTCTGTTGTGTAAACTGTTGGTTGGCTGTTTGTTACATTATTCAATATTCAGATGTTTCAAGAATAATGTACGAAGATGAATTAGTCAAATTGTGAATGCTTCATTTCTCTTTTTTACTTTTCTGAAATTACATCACTTATTCCTGAGTTGTAGAACAGTCATAGCAAGCTGTATCAAAATAGTCTACTTTTTTTTCTTTTCTTTAAGGCCTTTATCTTTGCTGTGTTCTCATTGCAGGTCTATCTGTGTGGCTTCAGTGGTAGGAAGCTGGACAAGATGAGAAGGCTTATTAACTGCGGTGGTGGTGTTCGATTTAATCAGCTTAATGAGGATGTTACCCACATCATTCTGGGGGAAGACAGTGGCGAGCTGAAGCACTTTTTGGACAAGACGCTTCACAGGTTCTGATAGCTGTGTTGCCTAATGTTGCTATGTGTTGTGTGATTTGGCCGGGGCTGTCTGAGCACTTTACGATGGGACATTAATCAGGGGTTGCTGAAGCAAAGGCAACAGCCTAAGGACTACTTCTGCCTTGCTTGCTTTCTCCTACCAACTCATGAGCAAGAAAATATGTATTGATTTAGAAATCCTAAGTAGCTCTTGTCATAAATAAGGAGAATTACAGCTGGTGTTTGCAACTCCTTCCTGACGTGCTCTTCAATACTGTAAATTTTGGGTTGCTATGAGTTGCCTCAGTAAATAGAAAAGTGTTGACACTGGTGATTAATGTATTAATACACTGAGGAGGAAGGATTTGGCAACCCAGCAGTGGGCTGCTATGATGCTGATATAAATTGTAGAAAATAAAAAAGAAACTGTCTGTTCTCATACTTAAGCATGAAGTCGTAAAGTCTGTAAAGTCTGCTTAGCATGCCTTAGTATTGGAGTTACAGACTTAAGGTGCACATGTGTACATAGTTTGTAGAGTGGAAAAGAAGAATCACAGTTCTGAGACCTGCTGTAACTTGTTTGTATAACGCTTTATTTTATAGGCCTCATATAGTGACAGCAAAGTGGTTACTGGAGTCGTTCAGTAAAGGCTATCTCTGTCCAGTGGAGCAATATATCCCTCAAAACTACCAGCTGTTAGTGAATACAGTTTTGGAACAGCCTGATGCAAAGTTAGTTCTTCCCAAAAACAACAGCATCTTGAAGAAGAAAGCCGTGAATGTTGTAAAGTTCCAGCAAGCTGCAGAAGACGACTTCCTCTCTCAGTATGTCAGTAATGATTCTACATTAGGTAGGTGCAAGGCTTAGCATGCTGTTGACAGTTAAACAGGTCATGTAGAATTTGAGTTTTCAAGCATTTAATTATTAAAAGTTGAGTATTTTAACTTCAATATTGTATTTTTAGGAGTCATTCTCCATGAAGCTGTTTCAAGTTGTCCTTGTTTTTGTCAAACTGCTACTCTTTTGTTTTTTTTTCTTCTAGTTGAAGCTGAGAAACTAGCATGTGGTAGCTTCAATGATGTTACTCATGTGACTGTTCAAGAAGAAAATCAGTCTTCTGTCTGTAATGGTTCTTTGGGAGAGCCTTCTGCACTGGATGAAGGAGGTGTATTTGCCAGGAAGAGATTTCTTCTTTTGGGTTTTGGAGAAGAAGATGAGTCTTGCATTGCAGATCTGATTAAGGAGCATGCTGGGAAAACTGTGCCGCTGCAAAGCAGAATCATTGCAGACTATGCTGTGGTACCTTTATTGGGGTGCTCTGTGGAGCCAACTGTTGGTGATGTTGTCACGAATATATGGCTGGTAAGGGAGTTATATTTTCAGTCCAGTGAGTGAACATACCTATTATAAATATGTCTTGCTAGAATGCAGAGTTACTGGTGGTTTTTCTGCAAATAAGACGTTGAGAAATTAGTCTTATTTCTTTTGGAATTTGCTAAATGAAAGCATTCCTTAAAGCCTCTGCATCTTTATGGTATCTTAGCTATTTCAAAGATGAAATTTTCTACAGGCTTGTTAAATAAGACTCATGACTCAAAGGCTTCTGGTCTGAGGGTCTGCCAGTACTTTAGACTCATAGAATGGCTTGGGTTGGAAGGGACCTCAAAGTTCATTTAGTTCATTTAACCCTGCTGCCAGGGGCAGGGTTGCCAACCACTAGATTGAGCACTAATCAGGCTGTCCAGGGCCCTGTTCAGTCTGGCCTTGAACATCTCTAGGGATGGAACATCCACACCTTCTTGTGGCAGACTGTTCCAGCACCTCACCACCCTCTGAGCTATTGCAGTTTTGTGTTGCTGTTTGGCTTGATCTGTGATTTATACTGTCGTCTTTTTTAAGGTAACGTGTGTGGAACAGCAGCTCCTCTTAGATCCCCAATCCAATCCACTTTTCACACCAGTCCCAGTAATGGAAGGAGTTACTCCTTTGGTGGACTGCGTTCTTTCTTTTAGCCAATTTACTGGTGCAGAGAGAGACTCACTGGTTTATCTGGCAGGACTTCTAGGAGCAAGGTATATTCCTTTCTGTTCTTATACAGCCACTGTGATTAAATCGCTTACAAATTTCTTCTTTTATAGAATTAAAATGTTTCAACATAAAGTTCTTTTGGGTTCTGTTCATCTAAGTTATGACTGTGTAAATATTTCCCACTCCATTAGAGAAATCTGGTCTGTATTCACACAGCCTGATTTTTGCCCACATCCTCTGACTTGGTAATTCTATAAATTTGCTGACAAAATTGACACAAAAATGTCAGTTTTTCAGATGTCAGATTTTCTACATTCATAGAATCATAGAATGGCTTAGGTTGGAGAGGACATCAAAGATCATGTAGTTGCAGCCCTCCCTGCAAGGTTGCCAACCACTAGTCCAGGCATGCCGGATCCCTTCCAACCTGGCCTTGAATGCATCTTGAGATGGGGCACCCACGACCTCTCTGTGGTTCCAGCAGCATGTTCCAGCACCTCGCCACCCTCTGAGTAAAAAATTTCTACCTAACATCTAATCTAAATCTCCCCTTTGTTGTTTTTTTTTTTTTTAGTTCAAAGCCATTTCCCCTTGTTCTCACTATCAGACCATGTAAAATTTAGTCCCTCTCCTGCTTGTAAGCTCCTTTCAATTACTGAAAGGCCGCAATGAATTTTCCTGCAGCCTCCTCTTTCTGGACTGATCACGCCCAATTCCCTCAACCTGTCTTTATAGGGAAGGTGCTCCAGCCCTTCATCATCTTTGTCACCCTCTGGATCCACTCCAGTAGCTCCATATCCCTCCTGTACTGGTGACCCCAGGCCTGGACACAGTGTTCCAGATGGGGCCTCGTGGGCAGAGCAGAGGGGGACAATCACCCCCCCACTCCCTGCTGGCCACTCCACTTTTGGTGCAACCCAGGATAGTGTTGGCCTTCCAGACTGCAAATGCAAAAGCAAATGCTGCTTTTTGTCCATTAGCATCCCCAAGTCCTTCTCTGCTGGGAAACAGGCCTTGGATAATTCTGCTGGTTCTCTTTGTGTCACTTGAATGTATTTTATAGCATTATAAACTTGCCACAGGTTAACCTTATTTATGACTAAATAAATGTTTTATTAATCTAATTTTAGAGTCCAAGAATTCTTCGTGAGAAAAGCCAATGCAAAAAAGGGAATGTTTGCAAGTACCCATCTTGTGGCGAAAGAGCCGGATGGTTCCAAGTATGAGGCTGCAAAGAAGTGGAATTTGCCTGCAGTCACTGTAGCTTGGCTTTTGCAGTCTGCAAGGACAGGAAAGAGAGCAGACGAAAGCAAGTTTTTGGTTGAACATGCAGATGCTGAAGGTTGGTTATTAGCAAGCTAGGAAATGTGGGAAGGAAGGTCAGATGAATGAATACACTTTCAAACAAGTGTATGTGATATCTGTGTTTTTTTAAAAGAGAAATCAGATGGCTTGCTTATATTTCGTTTGTTTCCTTTCAAAGATGAGAGTTCCATTACTAAGCTTAGCAAGACACCACCAACTACTAAATTTCCTGATTCTCCAGAACGACCTGCTTATCTCCACAAAGCTGGAAAAAAGCCAGCCGTCACCCCTCTTGATATCAACAGGTTTCAGAGTAAAGCTTTCCAAGCTGTAATCTCCCATCATGCTGGGAAAACAGCAACTCCTCCTGCAGCAGGAGGGCTGCTACAAAAAGAACCATCTTTACACCTTGATACACCATCAAAATTTCTTTCCAAAGACAAGTTATTCAAGCCTTCTTTTGATGTAAAGGTAATGCTCTTTGCAAATTTTTGTGTTGATAGAGCCATTGAATTTAAAGATATGCATAAACTTAAAAACAGCACAAAAATGTTATTGTAAGCCTCTTTACCCTGTTAACTACAGCCTTTCTATTTCGAATATAGCCAGAAGAACGACCTCTGTTAATTTGCATATATTTCTAGTTAACAACCTGTGAATTAAATCTGTTGCATAGTAGATGTTTTAATGTCGTTAACAAAGCTCCTTTGTGCCTATTGCATCTTACGTGTTCTACACCTCATAGAACATAATCTGTTCTTTACATTGAACGACTGAGAAATACAACCAGAAGGCTTGTTAACTCCTCCAGATATTAGGAAACAAATGTTTACTTGTTCTGTGATGAAACACTAATGACTTTAATAAAGAAAATTATTACTGCAAATTGAAAAATGGGTTAGGGCTTTGAGTTCACTGTCTCACTCTGAAAGCCATGAAAAACTATCAGCCTTAAATCATGGTGAGGAAACCACCAGGAGTGCTGGAATAGCTGTTGAGTGAATTGAATGTGCTTGTGAAGCCTTCAGATTTGTTTTTCATTATCAAGGCCTTGATTAGAAGGTGAATTCACTGATTTTTCAGCCAAGTTGTTGGGTTTTTGTGCTAGTGGATTTTTTTCCCCGCTCCTCCCTTCCCCCCCCCTCTTCCCTTCCAATGGGACAACGCACATTGGAAATGGTTGGGATTGGGAGTACCTGGATTTGGCTGCTGGCTTCTTTCCATTGCAGGCAGTTCTCCCCAATGACAGTGAAAAAGAGGATTAAATCATCTCTTTTCTTCTTCCTGTTTTAAATTTGTATACTCTGAGATTGGGATTCTCTTGTATAGTTTTTGTGCAGTGGTACTTTGATTTGTGCTTGCTAGCTGCTACTGTAGGACACAGTCCTGATTTTACGAGAATGTTGGTTGTAACACCTTCATGAAGGTCAGTCAGTTACTTTGTTTTTTTGGTAGGATGCTCTGGCAGTTTTGGATACTCCAGGAGGTCTTGGTCAAAGGAACAGGAAGCTGAGCACCCCTCTTTCTGAAGTCATTGGCAGAAACCTGAAATTGGCACTGGCAAACAGCACTCGGAATACAGAAGCTCTTACTGCCAGCCCTCAGCTGAAGGCTGCACAGCCAGAAGTGGTAGGAGATTTTGGTTTTGAGCTTTTGGAACATAAATTGATTAAGAAAATGCTGTAACTTTTGTGAGTTAAGCTATAAAGGAGTTTGTGCATTGTGATAGATCTGAGTAAAAATGTGTATGATTGTGCATCTTCAACGGTGAATAAAGCAAGATAAGACACTAGGCAGAAATTTAAAAATCTTTTTCTCCTGTCTGTACTGCCATCCCAAATACTAAGGAGTTGCTAAGCTGCATGGTTTATAAAGCTGTGACAATTCAGTTTTTGTTGTATTAGGATAGTAGGGTTTTATAACAATTAAGAAGCTCCTGGGCTCCTGATGAGCAGGATTAAATATTTCACATTGCACTGAAGTTCAGAGCTCCAGCCTAATCTACTCAGAGAAACCAGGCAAAGAAGTGAGAGAAAAGAGTTTTTAGTACTGCTTCTCATGTTGTTGCACATGTACTACAAAGGATGGGATGAAACTAATGGCATTCAGTAAGGGAAGGTTGTTACTTCTTATTCTGTAGTTTCTGAACTCTAACCTTTTCACTCTGGTAGAGTGCAATGTTTTCATGGAATCAGGCTTGATAATTCCTTAATTTTGGTGCTTAGGGAAGTGGTCAGTCTGTGATGAAAAAAGCACAGTATGGTTTAGGGAGACTGTCTAAGAGTGAATCTTTTGTCTTTGGATTCCTAGTGCTTGGAAGGCTAGTTGTGCTCTCCTTTGACGTGGAGATTGGGAGAAAAAAAATGTTTGCCTTTTCCTGTTATTGGAAATATTATCACATATTGCACTAAATACTTAAATATTTGTGTTATTCATGCAGACACTTTCTAAACATGATTTTTTCTTTCCCTGTACTTGAACAGGAAGAAGAGCTCAAGCCTCTAGCTGGTGTTGTTATATGTGTTAGTAAAAAACTTAGTAAGAAGCAGAGTGAATTGAATGCTATAGCAGCTTCTCTTGGTGCAGACTACAGGTATCAGACAATAAAGCACAACTTCTAAGCTTCTGCACTGTGGGAATTAAAATAAATATGAATCTTAGTATTCTAATACCCTCATCTGTGGGACCTCTTGCTATAGCTGAACTTTAAGTTTCACCATCTTAAATGATTTATGTCCAAGAATACAGCCACACGCTAATATAAAACAAGTCATGTTTTCTCTGTGTTCCTGATAAGTCCATCTTGACAAAACTTTATCCTGAACTCTACTAGTGTTGCAGAAAAATGTTCTTTCCTCTTTTTTTTTTTTTTTTTTTTTTTTTAAATGCAGAAGATACTGAAATTTTTGGCATTTGGGAAGTTTAAAATTGACTTCAGATTTTGAATCTGATCTGAATATGTGCGTGTGTCTCTCTGGCTCAGAACTAATTATTTTACAGGTTGTGAACATGGCTAAGTTCTGTGATTAGAGAAACTAAAAAGAATAGGTTGTTACTGAGAGGAACTACAAACTATTTCCATTAGATAACAAGTTAATTTTTATGAGTTTACATTTTAAAATCCTATATTTTATTTTGAGCTTCATGGACTGGTATTCCAGTTGCAATTCAATATATAAGTAAAAGAAAAGCACATAACAAACTGCTCACACTTATTTTTAGAAACTGATTTGGAACTTCATTTACTTAGTAGTAACAACAAATCAAAACCCCAAACTGTCTTTTATACCTTTGTCAGACTAAGTTTTGTTTACTTCAGAAATGCTTTCAGAAGAGATTGAAGGCGTTCTGTCCTGAAACTGAAAGTTGTCTTTCTTTTGTTATGGCTAAGTAAATAATGAGCACACTTTCTTCATCAAAGTAGGTATATTTCTAGGATCAGCTGCTGATTCTTTTAGATAAGTAATTATATTCTCCAGTTGTATTCCATTTTTATTTTCTAGATGGTGTTTTGATGAAACAGTAACGCACTTCATCTACAAGGGAGGGCAAAACGACAACAACAAGGAATACAGATCAGTTAAAGAACGAGGAATACATATTGTTTCAGAACACTGGCTTTTAGAGGTATGAAGCTTGTTTGCTTTTTTTCCCCCTTTTACTAAAAGTGAACAGAAAAGAAGGCTTAAAACTCATTAGATAGCAGTTGATTTTCTGTTGGAATTTATGTTGAGCATATATAGGAATTGATGTTTCACATTCTGCTTTGAACTTACGAACATTTTTTGCTGGCATACGTTTCCCTTGTACTCTGTAAGGGAAAAAGAAATTCTCTTCCATTCAGCAGTTCTGCTACATGTTTCCCAGAATGAGAGCTGCATTTTTCTCTGGTGTAAACTACTTCTTTCAGTGATCCTTTTCCTGTACTTAAATACGGAACTTGTATTAATTTTTCCAGTTTCTCATCTTTATAATATTAACTAATATTGTTACAGTGTGCCCAAGAATATAAACGGCTTCCTGAATCTCTCTTTCCTCACACTTACAATCCCAAAATGAGCCTGGACATCAGTGCGGTGCAAGATTTCAGGCCCTCCTCTTCCAGTAAGCTTCCACCCACTGGAAAACCAGCAGAAGAAAGTGAGGTATGGTGTGTGATAGAAATTCATGTTCTGTGGCATCATTGGAATTCAGTTCACGTGGCTGTTATGTTGAATGTAATAAACAAAGTTGATTCTTTATTCAGTGATATGCTGAAGCAGATTTCACTGCTAATTAATTGCTATTGCAGATGCTGCTTCATGCTTTTCCTGCATTTATAATTCTCTTCTGGGACAATAGAAGCAAACACAGACATTTCAGGATTAGAAGTGCTTTCCACATCCGAAATAGCGTAGTCCATTCCTTGCCTTCTTTTTTAAGTAAGCAAGAGATCCAAGGCATAAGCTTGACTTAGTAGACCTATAGACTGCAGAGTAGGTGTTGTCATTAATGCTATTTTTCGCTGTCTTACTGATGTGGTGGCAGAAAGATTGGCTTGTTCTAAGGCAAGATTATTCTTTATCAGAATTTTCACAAATGATGAACGAAGGTAAAAACAAAAGATGTGGTATTGAAGAATTCTACTTGTCTTTATTGGCTTTAGGTTATTCCAGTGGATGAAGATGATGCTGAAGATGATTTAACTACTGACCAAATAAAGGAAACAGTTGGCACAGGAGGAGAACACGTTGGAATAAGTGAATCCAGGGGAGGTAAGTATAAATTCCTGTTCTCAGAATAGTCACCTAATGTCAAACTGCCAGTGTAAGCCTTCTACAGTTTCAGGTGCTGAATGTTAAGATGTGAAAGCTTTAGCTACTGTATCTGTTTACCAGTCAAATACAGCTAGCCATTGTTGGTCCATATGAGGGAGGGTTTTGCTCTCTAGTATAAAGATCTTGCCAGCCCATAAAAAATAGGGTAATCCATTACAAATTACTTAGTTGCTATTTCTTTAAAAAAAAAAAATCAAAGTTTGATTCTTAGCACAGAAAATCAGTCTTGTATACATTTTTGTGTTATGTGAAGAAAAGTGTTACAGGAGAGTTGTGGAATATAAGGCAGATCACAAGACAATTTCAGAAGTGATCCACATGTGAATTCCTGCTTGTGACAAGAAAGGGGTGACTTCAGTGATACATTGTTTTCCTGGATAGTCTTTCCTTCCTTGATTGTATAACCTTCCTCCCTGATACAGGGGAGGAAATTGACTTGTATGGCTGTACTTTCCCCTTACTGTAGTAATCTTGATCCTGTGGGCTTTGTTTATTCTCTTGAAGTTTTAACCCAGGCACTGGAAATGAGGGAGAGCTTCCAGAGGCAGCTGCAGGAGATCATGTCTGCCACATCAATAGTGAAACCACAAGGACAAAGAGGATCCCTTTCAAGGAACAGTTTTGACAGTTCTCCAGCCACTCCTGATAGCGCACGGTCTGTGCGAAACGGCCGCAGCAGGGCCTTGGAAGCTCTAAGGTATTGATTCTCATTTCAGTGTATCTTATCTTGTCCTCTCTACTCAGTCACTGAAACATGAACAGATCTCCAGGGTTTTCAGTTGTATTGTCTTTCTGTTCTGATATACTTCATTTTCTTGTAATTTAGAATCTTTAACAAGACCTGCTAGATAAAATCAGAACATTATCTTAATCCTAAGATTACATATAAATGAGTATATTTGCTTTTCAAAAAAGTAGTAGAATATAATTGCTTTTTAATATTGAAGTGAATTGTGCAAACCAACTAATTTGTCTTCAGGTTAGTTATATTGTTAGAGATATTTGAGGAAAACAGTGCTGCAATATTTCAGTACCTCAGTCATCTACAAATAGTAGTTGTTCTTTGTATAATCAATAGATATCAAGACATTATAATCACAATATAATTGTATAATCAATAGATATCAAGATGTTATAATCACAATATAATCAAGAGAGTTAGGCAAAGTAGACAATGATAACAAAAAGAGAATAAGTGGAAGAGCTTACCCTTTGGCTGGGTTCACCACAAAACACCAAGAGAGGTGATCTCCAGAAGAGATCCTTCCCTACTGGAAGCCAGCTCTTAAATAGGTCTAGGAGGGGTGCAGCCTGGCTCCACCCCTTCTGGCAGCACAGCTGAATTGCCTTCACCTGTGCTCCTCTGGCTGACTCATGGCTTGCCTCAGGTGATTAATCAGAGGTTCAGGCCGTGACTCAGCAGTTCCCATACAACAAATTGTAATTGTTCTTATAAAGCATTTTGTGAATATTTATCCTCTTTTCGTTTCTCTCTGTGTAATCACAGTGAATAGGATTTTAGCTCCAAGGGTGCTGAGCTCCAGTGAGAATGTAATTGAAATCTTGCAAAATCATTCCTTTAGTTGGGAGTTTATTTGCAAATTAAAAGATTCAGTAAAGGGTAGAGTTGCACTGATTATGGAATAATTTATCAGTGTGACACATGGTGAAAATATCTCCTGCTTACATTTTGGTTGCCTTTTTTCAGCCACACTGACCCTTAAATCTACAAAGACAGATTGCCAAAGTTGCTTTCATACTGGAGGCTTCCACGTTTCTGGGCATGCTTTCTAATAATGTCGCTTGGATGTTACAGTTGATGTGATTGTTAGAACGTTACCTCCTAGCATGGTAGTCTTCTGTAAAAACAAAGGAATATTTAAGGTATCTGTGCTTTTTCCCTCAGGCAATCTCGTCAGGCTCTCACAGATATCAACACGGAGCCATCCCAGAGTGAGCAGATCATCTGGGATGATCCTACAGCAAGGGAGGAGAGAGCGAGACTTGTCAGCAACTTTCAGTGGCCTAACAGTCCTTCCCAGTACGCAGAGCAAGCTCAGAGTAACGTTAATAGGAACGTGGATGAGTCTACCTTCAAAGGGTCCATAGCTGACGCAGAGATTGCTGGTATAGGTAAAATGAAATCAGAAATAAAATACCATTTTTCTTTGCTACAGCATTGGGTTGATCTTTGGAGATTTTAAAATATGGTAATGCTTAAATTTTACTTCAAAAATACCAGATACTTAGAGAGTGAACATCATTGGCATTTCTTGAATGTAAAACTATACTTTTTTCATCTTTGAGCTCTACTCTATATGTGTTGCTGTTTCTTAAAAAAAAAAAAAAGAGCTTTCCTAATTATTTGCCATCTGTGGTTAAACACCACGGCAGTGGCAGCGCTTTTCTGAAAATAATCTGTATCAACTGTAGAAAATATCCTCCACAGTTTTATTTGGATCCTCAGCTGGCTTCCAGCTAGCAAGTCAGGGTAGATGCAGTGGAATTCAAATAGGAATACTAGCAGCAGAATGTTTTAAATATTAGTAGGTGAAGACTGAAGGAACAGAAAGAAGATAATTGTGAGTGCCAAAAACAGTAACAGTATCTCAGAGCTACTTATGAATTTGGTTCAGTTATGATTTAGTCAAGATACTGTGTTTATCTTTCCTGTTATTTCTGAAGTCTCAATCTTCTGGTGGGACTAAGCAGGACTAAAGCAACATGTTTAAGGTTTTTCATCCATTTTGGCTTTCTTCCTGTCCAGACAGATTAGCAGAATCATTTACTTCTCTGCCCATTGCCACCTCTTCCCACTCCCCAACAAATCTATTGTGTAGAGATTCTTCTTCTGAAGAATTTCCACTGAAAACTGCTGTCCTAGAGGAGGTTGAAGAGAATTAGCTAAATTCAGGGTTGTTTTTTTTTGTTTGTTTATTTTTGTTTAAATGAGTAAGTACGTTTAGCATAAGAAGTTAGGCCATTTGAGGTTTTTCTGCTTTTCAAAACAAGGCATCCAGGGACGTAGTCTGTAAGGTTCAGTTGGTGGTCTGTGGTATAAGCACCTTTTAAGAAGGGCAATATTGACATGTTAGCTGTGCATTTTGTAGCACCCTTTTAGGATAACTACTTTTGTACTTTGTCCATAATTATATTCAGCCAAGGACAGGTCCTGTAACTGTGTTTTACTTCCTCAGCTGTTCCTGAGGCTGGAGATGGAGATACGATTGAAGATCTGAAGAATCCTGTATGTAGAGATCCTGAAACACCCGTTAAAGATCACTTGATCCCCACCCCGCAGGCTCCCAGCATTGCATTCCCACTGGCTAACCCTCCTGTGGCACCACAGCCCCAAGAAAAGGTTTGACATTTGAAGAAATGCTCATGATTGTATGTGTTCTAAAAGTGTAGCTGTACTTTAAGGGCTGCTCTGAAAGTAATGCCTCCTGTGTTATTATGTTTGCCCATAACATCAGAGGCAGATGTTGATGGTATGGCAGTAGAGGTTAAATGTTCCCAACAGTATTCCATTACATGTTGTTGCCATGTGACAGATGGCAGTAGGGATGCAGTCTGACACAATGGTGTCTGACATGCAAGTGCCTCTGAAGCAGAAGTGTGGCATTGAATTCTTTGGTGTGGAAAAAATGGCACCCATTGACATCCATCAATGCTTGCTGAATGCTTATGGAGACCAAACAGTGGATGTGAGCACAATGAGTTGGTGGGTGGTGCATTTCAGCAGTGGCAACAGCATCCATGTGAAGTGCACTGAGAGGAGCCCTGTGGAGAGGAAGTTGGGGGTCCTGGTGAATGAAAAGCTGGACATGAGCTAGCAGCGTGCTTGCAGCCTGGGATGCCATCTGTATCCTGATGGCCAGCAGGATGAGGGACGTGATTGTTCTCCTCTGCCTTTCTGAGGCCCCATCTGGAGTACCTTGTGTAGGCCTGGGGCCCCTAGCACAAAAAAAAACATGGAAGTGACAGAGCAGGTCCTAAAGAGGACGTGAAGATGATTAGAGGTCTGAAGCACCTCTTTTATGAAGATAGGCTGAAGGAGCTGGGCTTGTTTAGCCTGGAGAAGAGAAGGTTCCAGGGAGACCTCATTGCAGCCTTTTGCTGCTTTATGGGTGCTTATAAGCAGGAGGGGGAACTCTAGCCATGTTTGGATGATGGAAAAACATTAGGCCTGTATTTTGCAGATGGTATCTGGAATTTAGGCTTAAATGCCAACTGCCTATCTTTGTTCTGGACATAAACCTGGTTCAGAAATTTAATGTTGTGTAGTGAACTTGAAAGTAAGTAGGAAAAGTAGGCTTTTGCCTTCAGTGTATCATTTGTATATCAACTTCCAGCAGCAACCATGTGTCTTCAGAGGGCTGAAGTGCCACGTTAGTGAGTAAACTGTGGTGGAAGTATTTAGGGAGCCTTGGGAGTTAAAGAAAGCCTGAATGGATGAGGCAGTGTGATAGATGGATGATGGTTGCTTCATGTTGTCAGCTTGCCATTCAGAGAATATGGATTAGTTTTTATGACAGATTTATTCAGTTCTGCCCTAAAAAAAGGGGAACCAAGAGGATGTTAAGCAGGTGCTTAATGCTGATTTGATAAGATCCAGCTTTTGTCAAGTGATTGACAGATTTGGTTCTTCTTTTCCATGCTAAAAGAAAACTTAACATAAAAATAACCCAGAATTGCTTGCAGGGAAACAGTCAACTGTCAAACTAATCTTTCTGTAATATTTCCAAAATCTGTTGCTATATTTTCAGGCTGTTACAGAAGATGAGAAGGTAGATGAAGAACCAGAAAAATGCCGTAAATTTCAGCTGTCTTCTCTTAATCCTCAAGAAAGATTTGACTATTGCCATCTGATTGAGGAATTAGGTACCAGCTATTTGTGAAATGCATGCAATAGTGTGTGTTGTAAGCTGGGAAAAGAAAGGGCTTCTGTTAACGACACATCAGATCAGAGTTCTCAAATTTATGGTTTTCTGTGCTTGTGAGCAATTCCTTGAATATGTTATTATTATGTGAGTGATCAGCTTTGCCATAAAACAGCAATGGTTTTGTATTCTGGCAGTTTCTTTCAGCTGTCTCCACAACAGCCCCATTCTTTACTGTTGGGAGTATCTAGAATCTGCCGTCTTCTGGTGTCTCCCATTCCTGTCTCTGTTACACCACCACTTTTTCTTTTCCCAGAGTTCCTCTTTCCTTGCCAGCTTCTCCCTCATCACTTCAATCGTAATATTTTCAGTGTAAATCTGAGATTTTTAAAAAAATTCAAATAATTCTCACTTTGAGTGATCTTTTTGTGGTACAGCCTGAACTCTAAATAACTTGAATCGTATTAAATCCTCAACTCCAAGGCGGAATAGTACTTGAGAAACAGTGCTTTGATCCAAGTTGCACACACATCGTTGTGGGACATCCTCTTCGAAATGAGAAATTCCTGGCCTCGATGGCAGCTGGAAAATGGGTGCTTCATCGTTCCTACCTGGAGGCATGCAGAGGAGCTGGCTGCTTTGTTCAGGCATGTAACCTCGTTACTGAGAAACTAGAATGTTGCACTTTTTAATGTCTCGTGTGGCTGAACACTGGGATTTTTAGAGGCTCCAGTACCTCAGAAACTTTTGGCAAGCTCGTCTCTGAAAACAGGTTGCTGACCAAACCTGTGGGAAGTTTTTATGCATGGCCATGGTAATTACGTGCATTTAAGAGACATATCTCTAATTCTATCAGGAGCTGCTTTGCTCAGATAAAATTGATGCACAGAACTACACTGAGTTGTGATTTGTTCTGGATGTTTGGTTTGTTGTTTTTTTTATTACTTTCTGCTAGTAAAGTTGACAAGACTTCTTTGTAATTCATGCCTCTGATTATTCTAGGAAGAAGATTATGAGTGGGGAAGTGATTCCATACTTAATGTTTTGCCTGGGATCAATGTAAACCAGAAGAAGCTAGCGCTTGCAGCCATGAGGTGGAGGAAAAAAATTCACAAAGGAAGGCAAGAAACTGGAATTACTGAGGTATTGAGATGTGTGTTGGATGTAGGGTGTACAGTGTGGATGGCCAAGACTGTCACTGAGAAACCCAGAAGTTTCTCTGGCAGGAAAAATGAATCTGTTTTACTAAGAACAAAATGTCTTAGCTGGATATCTTCTAGTTAGTTGAGTAACCTTTTAGTGCTGATCTATTACATCTTAATCTATTCCTGAACCACCCACTAGTCATGCTGTTTGCAGAGCTAGACAGGTGGTTACTGATGTATGTAAGCATAATTCAGCCATTCAGATGCCTTTGTTTGTGCTCTAGCTGGGATTATCCCTTGGTTTTACCAGAAAATCATGGATGGTGCTGGCAGTAACTCTTAGAAATCCCTGCTGTGCCATACAGGTGAATACAGCTCACTGGAAAGCATTTTCCCATATCTAGCAATGGGTGAAATACTGTACTTCAAACAAGGCAGCAGTTGACACCTCTCCCAAAGCACCTTCTCTGATGTCTCATAGTGCAAGTTCTGCAGTTTTTCTGTGACATTTCTGAAGGTGAAACAGGAGCTCACCAAGTCCTTGTAGCTGCTCTCTCCAACCAGACATGAAAGTATTCACTGAAAGGTGGAAATACTGCCAGTGTGTCAACTGCATCAGTGTAACTCACGTGTATTTTATAACCTCCTTTAAATGAGTGTTAGTGAGAGAAAGTATGTCTCTTGCCTATTTGGAAATATATTGTGCTCTAAGTGCTCTTACTCAGCTTTGTAGCTGAGTATGTAATTGAGTACACAGGTTTTCTTAAGATGTTTGTTTCTTGTTGGTGTTGCAAGTGTTTTGAATAGAATGGTTCGCCTGCCTTCCGTGCAGGTGGAATGGCGTGGTGGAAAGCTGGTGGAGTGCGTGGTGTTTGCCTGATAGTTTTACACTGTGCTTTTTTTCTGCCTTTTACAATTTAGAAAAACAGATGATAGCAAATGTTTGTCTGATAGGTACACCTGAAAGAGGCAAGTGAGGGATCTGTGAACTTCATTATGGCTAAATGGAGTCTTTTATCTAGGGAGCGTTCAGTGGCTGGAAAGTGATCCTGAATGTTGACCACACCAAGGAAGCAGGATTCCGACGCCTTCTTCAGTCAGGAGGAGCAAAAGTATGTAGCTTTCTGGGAAAAAGAAAGTACACATTACTGGTTTTTTTTATCTTCTATTGTTTTGTTGAGTGTTCATTGTTACTTTTTAAGGTATTGGTATAATTTCTTAAACTCTGTGCAGGTTATTGTCTATGCTAGTAGTAGGGCCTAGCCAAAATTGCTCAGACTGCTGAGCACAGAATTTGTGGGCCCTGCTCTGATGAGAGGATTGGCTTTGAAAGGTAAAGATGGTGCAGAATGCACAGAAAATAGTATTTTGTTTTGTGTTGGTTTGATGGTTGAGTGCGTGTTTATAGGTCATGAGCTGCATTTATCTCCCATAGGGGAAGGAACAAAAAAATTAATAGCTTTTGTCTCTCGTGTTTTAATCTGTAGGTGTTCTCTGGTCATTCTGTGTCTTTCTTCAAAGAAGCGACTCATCTCTTTGCTGACTTCAGTAAGCTGAAGCCAGATGACACCAGGGTGAACGTAGCAGAGGCGGCAGCCCAGGGAGTGAACTGCTTGAAGCCAGAGTACATTGCAGACTTCCTCATCCAGGTGTGTGTTGTGCAGGCAGGACAGGGCAGGCCCTCACCTCCAGGAGGTCACTAGGAGCCTCTGCCAGAGCAAGGAGCTTGCAAAATATTCTAGATGTGTGTGCGCAAAGCTCATTTTATTAATTTTACACCTTAGAAAACAACTGAGCAATTTCTTTGTTCTCAGAAGATCCTCCTTGAGCTAAGCAGCTTTTTTTCCCTTTCCTCTATTGAAGGATCCACCTCCCCCAATGGAGTCTTACTGCCTGCCGGAAGCTGAGCCTTGCTTCCAGAACAGCAAAGAACTTGGGACTGGATTATCCCAGAAAAGAAAAGCACCGGGAGAAATGAGCAGAGTCAAGCGATCCAGAATGCACTGAGAAAGCTCTGTGCTTTTAAGTTGTACATTTTATATATTCGTATTTATATTTTTTCAACCTCACCACAAAAATTAAAAGCTTTGAATCTCACTTCTCATTTGTCCTGAGATTAAAATAGGTTTACAGTAATAGGGAAGATCTTTTTGGTTACCGATGCTGTTAACGATTTGGTTTAGGGACAGCACTGTATAATAAATAAATACTTTGAGATGCTCAGCACACTTTATGTTTGTTTTGGTAGGGAAAACACCACTTGATGAGAATGCCATTGCCATGGATGGTCATTCCAGTAGTGGACTTATATGTTGAGTATTTCCTCTTGGTTTTGCCCCAAGAGAAAATACCAAAAGAGAAACTAGATTTAAAAAAACAAAACCCAAAAAAAGATTATACATTTTAGTAGTAAATTATTCCATAAAAAACTTTAAGTTTTTGCCATTCCAAATATTAACAAATGTGTTAGTGAATGCCAGTTGTACCACTGCATCTCTGTCTTGCTTTGGGGTCACATACTGAAGATAACGCTGTTTACTAATGCCTTAAATATCAGTTTGGAATTAACTTTGCATTGCACTGGTGATGTTGCTTTGGGATTTTATATAGGTAATGGGAAGTAGGAGACAAGAACAAGGGGCTGTAGGGTATTTTTGTTGTTGTTGTTTATTTTTTCTCCTTTGCTCTCAGAAAATGCTGCTATGGAAGGGTAGTGCTACTATTGGCATTTCACAGGTAAGCTTCAGAGATGTCCAGGAGCCACACAAGTCCTGTGAGTACTGTGACACAAGGGGCTGGACAGAAGGGCAGACTTGGTACAGTGGGCTTCTGAGTGTGAGCAGCTCTCCAGGTATTTCTTCAGCACTCTTCTGAAGATTTGTACAGCTGCAGACAGTGCCCAAGTGGACACTTGCAATGCAAGAGCCTGGGCTGTCACATAGGCAGGGCACAAGTGAAGCAAAGAGGATGGCAAGAAAACTTCTGTCCCAGGTCTTGAACACCACAGTGACAGCGTGCTGCTGTCAGATCACAAGTGCCTGCTGTCATTGCTTGGAGTCACTGGACAGATGAACACAAACAGACAAACCTGGAGGTATAATTCAGTTGCTGCTGTTAAGATAAATTTATTTTCTTCAGCTTTCTTTACAGGAAACATCACAAAAGTGCTTTACAGAGTTTGATACCATTACTCTAACATGGGACAAAAGTAGAACAGAGGTGTGAACTGCACAGTCAGAAGTTGGCATATGCAGAAACCATGAGAGGGAAACCAAGGTAAAAAAAACTACTGCCAAAAATATATATATACATAGCTTAGGTTTTGAACTTAAATTATTACTATAAGGACATATAAATATACAGGCACCAGTAGGTTCCTGTGTTAACTGTGAAGGGCCGCATAGTGATCACCTTCTGTTCGCTGTGCTGGATGGGCTCCTGGCCATCCCTTTTTCCAGCCAGACGGTATCCTCCTTTCTTTTGTACTGCTGTAAGAACTCAAAGGGCTTTATCTTTGTTACTTCAGGTTGGCTCTAGTGCTGAGGCATTCCTGTACATTGCTGAAAGTAAATTCCGTTTCATATTTTCATTTATAGAGATGACCTCTTTGCCGTTCTTTGCTGTGTCGTCTTGTTATTGAACCAAACCAAACACCCCCTGTAGGCTGGACCATGCTCCTACTGCCCAGGCGAGGCAGTTACGCTTGAACTAAAAAGTTACCAGTCACACAACTTCATTCCTTCTTATAGCTCATCTGTTTTACTGCAACCAGTGCTACTCCTTTCATTTTGCTGCATTATGTTGGAATGAGCTGTCATGGAGCCTTTGAGGATCTAGACATCAATTCTTCAGCACTCAAGAATATTGTATTTATTTACTAAACATTTTGCAGCAGCAGTTGAGCTGTGTACGTGGTGCTAGAGCCTAGACTGGTGATGTACAGCATGATCCTGACTCATGGATTCTTGCTTATGGAACTGCTCTCTCAGTAAATGCTCAGTGAGGTACCTGGCTCAAGGTCCTTGGTAGGATAATAATACAGCTCAACAAAAGAAGGGGATATCATAGTGAGGAAAGAGTGGTGCTGTGGTTTGAGCTGCAGGAAAGCAAATCTCTAAAAAAAAGCCATGCCAACTTACAAAGCCAGTTTGCCTTCTACCTAAATTCCCAGACTAAAGATGCAGTGCAACCAGCAAGAGCTCATCAGCCCTGAGGGGTACAGAGTGGTTAAGTAACACAAGAGGCATAGGGCCAACGTGGGGATCCACACAGTGGCAGCAGCATAGCTGCTCCACCTCTGCTTTCAAACTGGGATGGGAGAAAAACTTCACCTCCACCCTACAGACTTGATACAGTCCCCAGCAGCCACTACTGTAAGCACTATAGGTAGAACACCTAAATAAGGTATCATCCTGTCAACCACAGATTATTGTTAATAGCAGAAAGCAGCTGTTTTGTATGACAAATAATATAATATATATAATTATATAATATATAATATAATATTCCAATGCTGAGAGAGTACAGCTCCTAAGAGGCAAGCATACATCCAAACAGTCTGAGTCTTCTTCCATCATACCACCTCCACTCTATTCCTAACTAACTGTCACATTCCTGGTAAATGCAATTAGTACTTAAAGGCTGAGCATTACTTATAGTTGTATGACCTTTAACCTACAAGATGAGAACATAAAGAGATGAAACAAGCCACAACGACTAAGCCTGCCCCTGTGTTGCTGCACTACCTTCATGTCAAACATCTAATTTCAGTGTCCAGTTAAGTACTGCACTGGTTGCATTACAGCAAGCATGCCTGAGCACTCGCTGGTCAAAGCAAGGAATGAATATGCTTGCTTCATCTCTGCCATGAACAAAGGAAAGAGTAACACAGAAATTTAAGTTTGCCATGGGCTTTGTTCTCTTGTGCTGGGTTCTGGCTGCTGGGAGATCTCAAATCAAGTTTTAATGAAACAGCACAAGTGACAGGAATATGGAGCAACTCTACTGAAACCCATAAATTTATGCTCCTGGAGATCAGATTAACATACATTTTACCTGCTTAGCAATGTCTTTGCTCTCATTTATCAGCCGTATTTATGGTTCGAATCATTTTGTTATTGTACATATTCTGAAAGATACAGAACAAATGGTTTGTTTAAATTAAAAGAAAATGCAACATTTTAACTAATGCTCCTCTGCAATCACAATATTTGAAAGAAAGCAGACAGTTACAGCTTGATGACTTCAGTGCTGTAACAACTGAGCTAGAAGGAAAATGTCTTTATAGAAGGTAGACAAGAAAAGGTCAAATTGAGTAAAAGACAGGAGCAAGTCATGCTTGTCACTGATAAGAATAGTGAATTACATACATGACACCGAAGACTTCTGTATATACGATGGCGAAATCCAATGCCTATAGAAAATTAACAGGTTTGCCAGCATTAGGGAAAGTGGTGATTGCCAGGATAAGCTAACTTGTAAACCTGGCAAAGAGCAGAAAGTAAAGGTCAACAGAAAAAACAAAAGGCAGTGAGTAGTGGAAAGGCTTTAAACCACTCATACATGCTCTGGTGGGTTCTGAATTAGTTGTGATCTTTCAAGGGGACGATCTAGGCATCACCATGGCAGCTCAATGAAGACATCTACTCACTGTGCAGTCAAGAAAGCGAACAGAACAGTATGGAAAAATATTACAGCGTAAATTTCAGCTGGGAGAGGCAGTAAGAACAAGGCAGCTTATTTGTAAAGGGAAAGAATAGATGATGAACGTCTTAGAATTCTCCTACCTACCATATAACAGAACATTCCTCAAGGCCACTTTAAGCCTGTTACCAGTCTGTTGACCTCACTGCTGCATGAAAAATGCCACTCATCACCCTAAGTACATAAAAAAATCCTCCTATGTTTTGCTTTAACATTCATCATTCACCTAGTAGAACATTCCCCCCAAAGGAAATGCAGTAGTCTGTTGAAATCTAATAGTAATCACTTCTGACACAGAATCCTCACTGCTGATACACATTAGCAACTGTCTTAGAGCTGCCATAACGATAAAACATCAGTAAGAGAAATAGCTGCTAGGCCTCATCTCTCTGTCCAGTCCCACCAGAGGTCTGATTTGTCAGCACGCATGCCACCATTGTGTTCTCTACTGCTATTTGGAGCCCTGCTGTAAAAGCTGAGCAATGAACCTCGAAATCACCAGCAGGCAAAGGCATATTCATAACAACTATTTCTTCATGCTCCTCCCACTGCACTTAACTGCTAGAACAGCAGAAATAGTAAATAGAGCAAGCGTCTCGTCTGCATCTGTATTCCTCTCCCTAGCTCTTCCTCTGCTTACTCCCAGTTCTGAACCATGTCACCCTGCATCCTGACACAGCTACGTGCCTTCATGAGTGAACAGCTCTAGTTTCTAGCAATTTGAGCAAGCCTTAGAACAGCCACATGACAAGAGACGGCTCTGAGCAGAACTTTATTTCAGCCACGGGGTTTACAAAATACAGCAATACTGATTTTGATGTATTCCATGTAAAAACTGAAAGCCTTATATTAAGACACCATTTGGGTTTCACAGTTAACCAGAGAGGAAATGCCTGTTAGGGCAAGGTTCAGGCTGAGCACTATGACCATGCTTATTAAAATAACCATCTAATTATGTAATACTTGACTAGAGCATGGGTTACGTTCTGTAAAAATAAGTTCTCTCCAGAGTAGCATGAAATACTATCATGAAAGCTAACGTAAGGATGTTTTATAACGATTTTCTGTCCTTCCGCAGCACCAGAACTTCCTCTAAGAACACCTCCGGCCTCACAGCACCCTTGTGAGGTATTTTTTGCACAGCTGGGGAAGCTGAGGCAAAGTGAAACCAAGTTACTCCAAGTTAACACAGCAACTCAGAGGGAAACTAAGGCCAAACCCCACTCTCTTGGCCCTGCACGCTGGCTTCAGAACATTTGCTTCTTTCCACTGCATAAGGTTGTATGATGATGATGACACATTTCCATTCCTGCTTTTGAGATGCACTTTTTCTGGTGATTTATTAATACTGTGGTGCATTTTTAATACTTATATGAAAGCTTGCTTCCTAATAAGACCACTGTACTATCTTGGAATTTGTCCTTTCCTGGTTCCCTTTCTAGGTAAGCGATTACACACAGCCTCATACCAAGGCTGAACTCCACCCTCTCTCTGGGCAGAAAGAAACAGGACGCTCTCTCGAACTATTGAACTTGAAATACTTCTGCTGAGTTACAGGGATTCATCACTTCTGAAAGCAGTGCTGATCTCTGCAGCACTGTCCTTCCTACCCAAGTGCTCACGCTCCGTTCCCTGCCTCCTGCTGTGCATTCAGTACTGCCACGTAGCATAAAGCCTCCCTATTCCTTCTCATGTCTCTCCTGGTGTTATACTTAATTTCCATCTTCTCTTCTTATTATAAGATTATTTTCTATTCTGCTTCCCACAGAACATGGTGAAGCTACATCTGTGCTTTAGAAGCCAAGCTATAATACATGAAAATTACCTTAACCCAAACCAGTTCTGTTGTCTTCTGTCTTTTCCCATCTGCTACAGCTTGCAGCTTCTTATGTTATAGCCAGACTAAAATGACTTTTTGGTTTTTCCTGAATAATGTACTGGCAAACACGTCCGATTTTCTGCTCCCTTTTACACACTTGCTTTCTGAATCCAAAAACCACATGCAAGTCTAACACTGCTTGAGCAGAGTTAAATATATTTATTGCAAAAGCAAACTCCATGATGTGAAGTCCTATCGATTTTGTATCATCTCCCTGACCTAAACTGTATACAAACCTTTGCCTTGTTGTGGTGAAAATCAACAGATAATCAAACACTAAAAAAAAAAAAAAAACCCTCAGCCCCTGTAACATCAGATTTCTAACACAGTTTGTGCTTTTAGTAATTCAGCTATTCCTAAGCTTAAGAGTAACCTTGGACGTGACTGCTACAGCTAACTGCAAAGACAGAACTGAGGCAGCAGGAGAGGGCCACTTCTCAGCAGTTCCCTTTACCTGTGGGTAAGATAAAGCACAACTGAACCAGTGAGGGGCAAAGCAGGGGCAACAACGAAACTGATCCTCTCCTCCATTTCTCATTAGCTCAAGCACGTACATATGCCAGACCCCTGCAACAGGCACTTGGGAAATCCAACTTTTTGTTTTGTTTTAAGTAGCAAAAGCTAAGCAATCTAAGCACTGCACCACCAAGAACCACAGATGTGAACTGCTCCTTTCCCAATAAGTAACACACATATGCATGTTCTCCTACCAAACTACGAATTTTATGGCCTTAATAAGTTACAAAGGTGGTTTAAAGAAAAAAATAACAACAAAAAAAAGTAACATCAAACATTCAAAATGGACATTAATAATCCACAACTAAAGCATGTTACGTGTTATGAAGTTCCTGTAGCACTACACAACACTTTACCAACTGGTATTAAGCAGCTCACATTCACAACTGACAATCCTTCATTTGGAGCAGAAGCCTTCCAGAAGCACTCTGAAGGAATGAAGGCTGGCATTTTTTGCATGCCTCCAATGAATGCATCAACAAAGCAGAAAGTGGGGTTTCCTCAGTCTCAAAAGCACACTGTGCTTCTAGAGTACTGACTTTCAAAGCGTTAGGAATGCAGAAGAGCTAACTGTTACAAGGAAGATACTGACAATTGGTATTTTGATAGTTGCTAGCAATGGTATTTAACACAAGAAACACTAAAGGAGCCTAACATTCTGTACTGCAGAAGTCTGCTGCGATTTTTTTTCCTTCTTCCCTTTTTATGCCTCCAGAGGGAATCTGGAACGATATGCTTAGGAAAAGAGCCCTGAAATAGTTCGCAGTAGCAGATGGACTCCTGTGAGGCTGCTAAACAGTAGAAAAACGAGGCTTTTCATTCCTTAGCTTAGCAAAGCCAGCTTAAGTGAAAATCACAAAGCATCATTCACATTCAATCCAGTCTCAAAACAGCACTATGCAGTGGCAATCAGAAGACACTCTGACAGGTGGCCAACTAAGCTGCTGTGTTAGGATTCACCTTGATGTGCACTGCTGTAAGCTGCTGGACATGGTCCACCTGAGCAGAACGCTGACTACCCACTGCATGGTTTGACCATTAAGATTTAAGATCCAAATGCAACATGCTTGCTCAGCTATCGCAGGAGTTATGCTAGGGTAAGCTACAACTGAAGGTAAAGATTCATTACACTCCAGAATCCATGTATATTTCCATTTTATTTCATTTTAAGCTGTTACAGGGTTTTCTTAAACTGCCAGAGGTCATGCCCAAAAACTCAAAGATGGTACAATGGACAGTCTCATCTACCCTTCGTACAGTAGATTAGAACTTGATTCATGTGCATTGGCGACTTCAATCGCTTTAGAGAATCAGGAAAAATGTTTTAAGATTTCACATTTCTACCACATCAAGTGACGTGCCCATTTACCATGAATTCCACAGAAATCTCGAGTGACACATCAACAGTTTTGCTGGCAACAAAGTATTTTCAAGGAAGATACATGGCTAAGAGCTCAAGGTATTGGTATCAGTCTTTCAGCCGGGTGGTTTCCCAGGTCTCTGACTGAAGAGAGTCTCTTGAGCCCTCTCTTTAATAGCAGCTTCTAGCAGAAATTTTAAAGACTTAACTTTGCAAGAGCAAAGCCAGTTTTAGTCTGTGCGCAGAAGAACCAGGTGAAACCCTGCCACAAAGTCAACAGCAAAATTCCCATTGGCCTCAGAGAAGTAATTTAAAGCAAGTCAGCAGTTAGACAAAAGGAACCCAACTACGCATAATTCCCACGCTATCATCATCCTCTGCAAATGCACAGTACTCCCACGCAAGCAAGCAAGTTTTGGTTTGTTCCCTTGTTTCTCTTGCCATTGGCAACTCTTAGAGATGTTGGGTCTTTTTTTTTTTATTATTTTTTGGCATTTACTCTGAGAAACATCAACACTGGAGCATGCCACTACCGTACTTCATTTTCCTTCTGGCATAAGAGAAAAAGTTACAGCAGAACACTTTTGGTACACGTCAGGTTTTGCTGACTGAACCAGTTATGGGCAATGTCCTGCACTCTTAGTGTATCAGTGCCGTTTTGCCTACCTTCACTAAATTAATTCAGAAATGACAACGACTTAAAGAAGTCACTGCCTTCTGTTCTTACCCAACATTCTGACTTTATTAAATACCACTTATGAGTTTCAGTTTGAGGATTTCTGCCTCAAAAAGCCTGCAGGCTTCACCAAACTAGTCAAGCAAATAAGGCTTATCAAGCATAAGTCATCCCTCTGTACAACAAGTTATTTGGTTATTAAGTAACCACTGCCCTTTAACAGACAAATACCCATTCTCAACAAATCTGGTATTACTATTGCCATGTACCTCACATTTTCTTTAAGATGACAAATTCGAAAGACTGCAGTTGGAGTCTGGATACCTCTGTGTCAAATCAAAACCCTTAGTGCCTTAGGGTGAGAAAAACAAACTTCATGATAAAAAACAAAACAAAATAAACCCTATTTCACTATAATATTTCACTGTCATTTAAATACACTGTAATTTGATATCAGAAACAAGGAAGGCATTTTTTTTTGGTGGAAAATAGAAAAAAAATGCTTAGACAACTGTGAAAATGGCTAATACAAACAGACCATTCAAACCCATCAATCCTCCAATCTGATACTGAACGAGTTTTAATTTGTTTCACCGTTGCTTCAGTACAGCTATCTAAAAAGGTAAACAAACTACAGCTCTGTGTTATACTTGGGTAGCATGGGTGGTATGGTATGCTCCAGAAGTCCCTGGTAGGCTATGGCTACACATGACAGGATTCCTCGCAAGGGGAACAGGATAGGTTTTTCGTTAAGGTCACTTAAATCTTTGTTATAGCAAATTGGAACCAAATGGCTGACTTCTGCAGGATTTCTGACAGGAATCCAGTAGAGCTGGTTTCAAGTTTCAGATGGCCACTAAAACAGCTGTAACCTTCTCTTCCAGAAGTTGTGATCCACATGGTGTCCACAATGAGTGCAGCAAGTCTGAGGTAGTCAACCTTTACGAAGGCTCAGTATCTGAACATAAAAAGATTTTGAAATGACCACTGGCTGTAGGTATCTTTCTGAGCAATTAAAGAACACCGATGACTCTCGTTCAATCATTTACATTAATGTGCCCCATATCCAATGGAGAAGTTGTAACATACGCTTCCACAGTGCAGGAGAACCGATCGCTTATGTCAAAGTATTCTGCACTTGCTGCAGCAGATCCAGCAGAAATAAGGTGGCATGTTCATCATAGCCGTTAGCTGTAGTTTAGTTACCTTAGTAGAAGGGTTACCAAAAAAGCATTCCTTAATTGTAATGTGTGTGCAGCTCTACTGATCCCCAAGCACAGCATACTGGTTGTCTAGCTGAAGTTTAAGTGCCTGGTTTTTTGAGACCTCATCCCTACCTCTAGTTTTGTGTTTTACTACTTCAAAGCTCTTCTCCATTTCTTTATCCCTATGGGAAAATAAATGTAATCAGTAAGTATCACTAGCTTGTAAATTTTTAGTTGATTTCCACCCCATTCCAACAAAAACATTATATTATGAACAGAAAACACTAAGGTCTAGAGTTTTAACAGAACAAACGTTCCCAAGCAAATCTTGTAAAACCTGTTTGCTAGAATCAAGCTTATCTTCAACTGCAATTCAGGTTACACTATACATTTCAATATTAACGTTCTCTAAAATAAATTCAAGTACGTTTATGAAAGATAATGTTTTGAAAACGGAAATCCATTCACTTTCTGGAATACACATATTTCCACCTTTGCCCAATTTGCACCACTCAAGCCCTAATGCACATCTCATTTGCCAAGTAGACAAAGTCACACCAAAACCAGAAGGAAACAGCTCCAGCAAGGCTGTGCTGATCAATATCACATCGAGAAGTCAAAACACCAAGCAAATGAAATAAATATCAGGCTATTTATCTTCCTTTACTTAAGTTACCTTCACATCTCTGATGAGAAGGAAGCATGCTCAAGACATTCTAATTGTTTTTCTGACAACTGATATCAAAGATCCTCATCGCAGCTGGCATCTAATGAAATCAGTTGCTGTCAAGAGCAAAAACATTCTACTTGGAAAAATCCCCCAGCAAGTCAATTAAGTAGCTGGGAATCTTGTTTGGCTCTCTTACTGGGCACCATCCTATACAAGTTATCTCAAGGCAAGCTCTTCCTAGAGTTAGAGAAAATATAGTTAAGAGCTTTCCCATCTCTTTGCCAAAGAGACTGATTTTTTTCAGTTCTTTCTCTGTGGAAAGATTTGGGCTTAATCATTGTAACAACATAAAAACACAGGTAAAAATCTTTCTCTCAAGGAATGAATGCAGTGTACTTACTTTCGACTGTCTACAAGCTTGGCAGTAGACTGCAGTGATGGAAACTGTGTATCACTATAGATTTCAGGTGGTCCTTGCTGTGCCCTCCGAGGCCTGCCACCCTCCCTGGCACCGGGCGGCCTGTATACACCACCAGTCTGAACTGGCTCTGGGGGTTCTGTAACTAGTTATAGGAACAACACGGAGACAACAGGGTAAGTGTGCATTCATTATGGAAAAAAAACAAGAGAAAATTACCAAAACCCCACCACCACACATACACAGAAAGAAGAACCTTACAAGCACGTCGCTACATTTTTTAAAACTTGGGAAGCAAATATTCCACATGAGGCATTTTAATTTTATCTATACTCAGTAGTTGAATTGAAATGCAGCTTTGGCATTTTGCTCCCCAAAGTTTAGAGTCTCAATCTCTAAGAATACCTTTATTTGGGTTTTTTGGTTGGTTTGTTTGCAATATATTAGCAGCTTGCATTCGAAACTTGAGATCTAAACATGTAATTACGTACTTGCCAAATCTCATTTACAGCACCTCTCCATATGCTGAAGGGAACACTCAAGTAGCTTACATTTAAAGGTAAAAGCCTACAAACACATTTTTTTTCCCCTTCTACAGGTACAAACACATCCACCGATACTAAGAATTGAAATTAAACAATTTAAAGTCTTCACCCAGTAAAATAATTCATTTTGCAATGTCATATTCCATGTACCCTAGGTCTGATTTGAAAGAACTACAGTGTGCTATTAATGACTGAGCCCTACTCAGGAAGTGAAACACTAAGCATCAGATACAGGCTGACCACCCACTTATCACCAAAGCAATATTTTTTGACCCACAGAAATGCCTTCAACTGATTTTCTGCAAATTATGAAGTCGAGGGAACTAATTTAAAAATAATTAAAAATGAGATGCTGTCCATCCTCCCCACTTTGAAGCCTGAAATAAAAAAAGACAGCTGCCATGTTTGCTGTAATTATCTGACAGCTTTATCAACTCTGTTCCCCAGAAGCCCTCACAGGAATAGGAACTACTCCTTGCACTCTGCCTTCTCAGTAGCTCAATTCTTACTGGTACAATCAACAACCAAGTCACATTTACCAATTGTTTCAACAACAGGTGCTGGTGCAGGAGCTGACTTGTTCCAAGGACCAGATGATCTGTCTACAACACCACTGGTTTCCTCCCAGTTGTCACTAGGTTCTTCTCTTTTTTCACTTTCATCATCTTCCTTTTCACTGTAAGAGATAAAATGAAATGTATTACATGCTAAATACTACTAATCAAGAAGTCACTACATCCTCCTTCCCGTCCTTCCCCCCCCCCCTTGAGTACTTTGTATCTCGTTTTCAGCTAAAACATCTCCTGAGCTGGATAATCAACAGCCTCCAGTGGGTTTGTCCTCCATCTGCTTGTCCAGTCCACCCTTCAGTCTGCAAACTAAGTCATTACAAAATCCCCTGACAGAAAGTTCCACGTGCCTGAAAATACACCAGTGTCAAAAGCATTCAGAATGCTGGCCTTTGTCTGGAAAAGCACAGCACTCGCTTTTCAATCAGCAGAGCAGCCCACTTGGTACTTGTCCATTCAGACACGTTGCTTATCTGCTCTGCCACTCTGATGGTATGGAGAGCTTGTGGACCAGAAACCTGTAAACAGCCTAGGACTAATTGCCTTCAAAGAGGGGAAAAAATTGATAATGAAGCAGATCAATGCTGAAGCTTATCAGTACTTGAAAGATCACATGATATTTTCAGCCTAAAACTGTGGTCATTAAAATCCTTTTTCCAACTTGATGAAACCTTTTTATTAACCAGAACAGATTGAAGAAGACTTACTTTGGATCAGACTACAGGAAGAATCTAATGAAAAAGCAAACAAAGCATCTTGGATGAAGCTCACAAGTGCAGTCCTGTGGGTCTCATCACAAACTCATGGTTTTATCAACTATATTTTTGTACTCTTTAAACAGAAATGCAAGCATTCAGGAATTTGCTCCAGACTGACTCAGATATCCTTACATCACGCAAGTGATTCAGGAGGAATTACCTGGCATTACTCTCAGAGAAATTCCCCTTCTGTTATCTTTACATAAGTGGAATTTTAAGTACTTGGAGAAAACTTTAAGCCTCAAACAAAAGAGAGGCCCAAAACATCAAAATGACAGATAGCCTAAGCTACCCCACAGCAATCAGACCTACCTAGCTGAAACATATCAAAGCTCCCTTTAATCACACTCTGGGGAGAAAAAACAGTTCTTTGAAACACGCAAGGATCAGTCTGATGGGGAAGAAAGGGGAAAAAAAGTAGTACCTTATTTGCATCGACTGAACTCTAAGACCACTATAATCAATTTCTTCTTTTTGTTCAAACTCTTTCCAGTCATCCTCTTCCTGAAAGAGAGAAAGAAGCTGTTACCATCTTTCTACCAAAGGGTGAAGAGATGATAGCCAAGATAATACAAAGAAAACTAAAGGCGAATACGCAGCTCTGTGGCAAACCAATCTGTGCACCACTGCCAACAAGGAAAGAGATCCCACTCTTTCCTCCCGACTTACTGCACATTCTCATAATGTGCCTGTGAGTTAATTTTAACTGATTTTAACTCACTACAACAGTCACAAAACGCCCCAGCAAAAATAGGCATTCAAGTGAAAGATAACCACATCAGCTTAGCAAAAAACTAGAAGAAAGGCAAGCAACACCAAGTAGGGAACAGAACTGTGCAATAGAGAGCTGTGAAATGCAGGGCAAGACTTCTCCCTTTTACTGAGCTTTTATGACAGCTTGAATGCTCATGAAGCTTTAGATTTACTTTTCCATCATATATTTCACAGGATACAAAGAACAAGGAATATCCTGAATCGCTTCTAGCCTCTGGGAAGGACATGGGAAGGTGGAATCCACCTGAGTGGAGCCAATTTTGTCCTTCAGCAGGTCCCGGTGTTATTAAAGTAGGGCTGAAGGAGACGAGAACAGATGAGCAGTTCTCCTTAGTCACAGGTTTGAGACACGCTGCCTAATTAGCAGTTACATACTTCCTGCGTTACACCGCTTTCAGCATGCATGCCAACGGCTCGGTGTCCTTCCAGTCGGGCAGCTAAGGACACAGCTCCTTTGAGGAGCCCTGCACACCACCGACCTGCAGCACAGGCTGCGACCTGCCCCGAAGCGACAGCAGAAGCGGCTTGGAGCCACCGCACGGCCTGTTAAGGACTCAGAGGCTTCCGCACACATGCGACTCCACAGCTCCGAGCTTGCAGACTTCTTATACCCCCATCTCCATGGAAACAGCACAGCTCCCAAATTAACGCACCTTTCGCATTTAAGGAACTTGATTTCCAACCCAAGCCACCAGAGCCGCGTTCACCGACAAGAAAAAAGCAAGAAGGTTTTCCGTCGCCCTTGCTCCAGCCAGAAAGCCGCGAGCACCCCAGCGTCAGCGACACGCAGTGCGAGGCCCCAAACGCCAGCTGCCAGCACTCACCTCGCGCTCTCACCGCCACCACCACCACCACACATCCCAAGCCCTCCCGGCAGCGGCTCCCCCAGCCAGGCTCCGCGCCCCCAGCAGGGGCAGCCCCGTGCCTCCCGCGTGGCCGCAGCAGGGCAGAGCCGCCCGCACCCCGCGTGGCCGAGACGGCGCCGCCCCGGCGCTCCCCCTGCCGGCAGGAAGGCGCCGCGGCCCCGCGCCCGGAGGCGGCCGTGCCCCTTCCCCCAGCGCCGCCCCGGGCCGCACCTTGCTTTTGGCGGAGCCGCCGCTCGAGGCGGTCGCCCCCGAGCCGCCGCCGCCGTCGGTCGGGCGGGATCCTCCGGCCGCAGCGGCCGCTCCGGCGGCGTTGGAGGCGGCGCTGGAAGCGCTGGAGGCCGTGGAAGCCGCGGCGGCGCCGCGGCCGCTCTTCTCCTTCCGTTTCTTCTTGTCCCGCTTGGCGAAGAAGTCGTCGAGGCTCCTCTCCTCGGTCTCCGCCATGGCGGCGGCGGGGCCGGGTGCCGCTCCTAACGGCGGCAGGAGGAGGCAGGAAGCGGCCGGGCCGACAGGTGCGTCCCCAAGCGCTTAGCGGCCGGCCGGGCCCGCCCGTTGCGCGGCGGCAGGAGGCTGCCGCACTCCACGCCGGTGGCCGCCGCTTGACACGGCACGAAGCGGAGGGGGCGCGGCTAGAGCCAGGGGGCGGCGTCTTCCGGCTGACGCGCCGCCGGGCGGGAGAGCGTGGGGCGGGCGGAGACTTCTGCGCGTGCGCCGAAGTCCCTCGGCCAACGAACGGCCGAGGAGGAAGCGCCCGCCGGCCAGTCGGAAGCCTCCAGGGCGAGCCGCTGACGTCGCGACGCTAGAATGCGTGGCGTGCGGGGAGGTGACGGCGCGGATGCCGATTGGTCGAGAAGGGGCGAGGGTGGGCGCACCGGGGACCGTTGGGCTCAGGCGGCGGGATGGGTGGGGCTCTGGTTGCGCGTGCGCGTTGGGGCTTCTCGGCGCGTGCCGGGCGCGGGCGGCGCCGAACGTTGGCCGCTTCCCGCCTCGGGATAACGGCTCATTCCTCTCAGCGCCCGCGGCGTCACGGCGCTCCGATAGCCGGGATATCAGTGCGTCCCTCGTGAACCCTGGGGCAAATTAGCCAAGGTGGGGCTCGTACCCCGGGGAGACGCACCTCACCGGGTGCCGGTGCGGGGGCTCAGTTTTGAGCGGTGCAGCAGGAGCGCTCCTGAAGGTTGTTCACCCAGTGACACTGAGAGTGCTGCGTGGTCAGTGAGGCTTTCTGTTTTACCATAGGCACAATTGCATCAGTGGAGAACAAATTCCACAGTGAAGTCTCGTTCTCTGTGTCCATAGGAGCACCTGGTCTCTCACATTGCCCTCCTCAGCTGGTAGAAAGTTGCTAAGGACAGGTAGGTGGGAAAGTCTTCGAGTCTCTTTTGCCTTCCCTTGCATTTGCATTGCATTTCTGCCTGGGAAGCTCCCCTATCTCTGCACTGCACGGTGCCGTGACTTGCAGGCTCAGTGCTGATAACAAAATGCAACTAAGCAGATAAGTTGTATCCCTCAGCTTTTGTAGCAGAGAAGCTAATAATGGCCCATAAGTACAGTGCTATGGGTGATTCTAAGATACGCTTTTTGTATTTCAGCAGCTGGTAAAATGTTTTCATTGCATTATTATGGGAAATCCCTAGTATCATGCTAAAGAATGTGAATCTGATACCTTTTTCCTGCTTTTAGTGTCTGCGTCTCTTATCCCTTGCAAACAAAATAGTGTAAGGCTGGAATGACCAACTCTGGATTAAAAACTTAATACCTGTCAGGAGCCAAGTACCAAGAGAAATTTCAGCTGTTAAATGTGGAACAGACTTAACATGGTTTCAGTGGAAACCGTGGAAAATAGGAGCAATGTTTTAGGGTTCTGAAGGCTTAGATCCAGATTTAAAGACACGACTGAGTTGGCACTTTACAGGAAGCATTAGTTATGTGGCTATGCCTAGATTTTCCTCCCACCTCTAGCTTTATGCAAAACTGCAAAAACTTGCTGATGTGCAGAATTTGTAGTCAGCTGCAAATGAGTTGCGTTAGCTTATATGGTTGAGATTGTTGTGGGGTAATATATTAGAGTCATTTAAAAAAAAAAAAAAAAGGTTATTATTGATGTTCTTTTCCTCTGAAATTCGGTGATCTTCAGTCCTTGAGTAGAGGACATTTGGCTGAAGAATGGCTTGCAGGCACAGACTAGCAGAAGTAACATTTGCAATGCAAGGACTTTATCCAGAATGCCTCGCAGCCGTGACGGGAGCATGAGCTCAGCAGACAGGTTCCTACCGCATGACATATCATTGACCTGTGTAACCAACCCTTGGTAAGATGCAGTGTTCTGTGTGCCTCTGCTTAGGTTCAGATTTGCAGGGAGGACTTTGTCTCTTTTCTCCCCCATGTTAGTGTGTGGCGCAGTGTGCTTGCCATGGCGTACTGCCATGCCTGCACACCTTCACTCTGTCCTGTGGTTATGATGTTTCTTGCCAGGACACTGTTCCCTGTGCATCTTGATGCATTTTACATATACCAGGGAATGAAGCAGTACTGCATGTTGTAGAAATGCAGCAGTAATCACTATGCATGTGGAGAAGCTGCAGAAAGGGAAAGCAAAGAGTGTTGTGGGTGACGATGCAAAACTTGGGGAAGAGTTAGAAACAAACTTCCACTTCCAGTCATTTTGTGTTTTGCCTTATCCTGACTTATCTGTACCAAATTATCTCCATCCTGTGAAATGAAGGTGGGAGTACCTCAGACTGCTTTGACATTTGCGGATCACAAGATAATGCAGAACATTAACTTGGTAACTCTTAGGCAGATGCCTGCCGAAGGGAATTGGAGAAGGTGCTCTTAGGAAAGTGCAGCTGCTGGGCAGAGCAGCTTGCAAAAGGGTTCTGGTTCAGTCTCTGCCACAGCAAATCTGCTTAACAACGATCCAAGGATCTGTGTCATTGCATCTCATGTACAGCTCTTTATGGCTATTATCTATCATCACCACTACTCTTGATAGTTTCTCAACTTGATAAATTCTGCACAGATGTGGAAGAAGGTTTTATCACTGCTCTGAGCAGCATACATTCTATAAGAGAAAAAAGGGGTTTGCCATCATTTGTTCTTTTGGGTTGCTGGCTAATCTCTTAACGTCTTAGAAAAATCTTCCAGGCAGTGCATGCTCACAGGGCTTTTTGTTTCCAGAGATTAGTCAAGAAATTGTCTGTCAAATAATTGCACCAGGAAGGACTTTCCACGTGTGGGGAAATGTGCATGGAAAGGTTTGACAGTTGTGTGCTGATTCCTCTTATTCACTGATGGATCAAGTGTAGTGGATTTGCAGTGGATTTGAATCTTAACTGTCATTAAGAATGAAATAGTTTTGTTAGCTAATGTTTCAACTAAAAATTGAAATACCTTCAGCCTGTCACAGCTGCTATATGCAGTGTTCTCTAATATATGCCATTTCTAAGTAGTCTTTGAGTCCACTTAAAAAACCGTCTTATCTCTTTTTGTAAGTATCTGTGTTGTGAAATCCTGATCCAACAGAGCGGACAATAAAAGGATGTGACCCAGACTGCAAACAGAGATGCTGTTGCTCTCCTTAACCTCCAACTTCTCCAAAAGTTTAGTTTAGAGTCAAAGCATATTTGCTAAGTACTGTTTGGATGCTTGCATTAGTGCTCTTACTAGCTTATGCATTGCAGAATTAATTGCATCAAGTTGATGCAACAGTTGAATTGCTTGGGCTTCATTTTAACTACATTTCACTCTAATGAGCTGCTGGTCTTGTAGCACAAGAGTACTTGCCATTTGGGCTGGTTGCATAGTGCAGGAGTAGTCCAGTCTTAATGCATTTGTACTAAAACCAAAAAACAGACCTGGTGGGAAGTAGCGGCACTATGCTGCTAACGTAGTCCCCCTCAGCTATCACAAAAAATACTGAAAGAAAAAGTCAAACAGAAAAAACTCTGATATTCTTTATTTTTATTATAATTTTAACAACATGAGTAAATTGAAATCTGTAAGCAAAGCAATTACATGAAGAGGGTCTAATAAAGTTGTTCAAGCTACAACCTACTTTGATTGTTGAATCAAACTGAATAAAGCAGGCTGCTTTGATGGGCATTTAGCTTCCAAGAACATACTTAGCAGTGACATCTTCTTTTGCTTTGAGTGGCAGTGATCTTCTATAGAATGGGAGTTTCATGATCAACTGAAAGTTAAAAAATAAGATTCATCATTACTACAAATAAGACAGTTATTGAACTAAATGTTCAGTTCAGCTGGTGAAATCTCCTCAGGACCTGACTGTGCAGCAGAAAACAAATCTGATACACTTTTTATTTCAGGATGAGTAAAAATTTCTCCCTGAGGTGAGCAGAAGAGCAAGTCAAAATCTGGGATTCAGATCCTCAGAAGTTCCATGACTAACAGTGAATAAGGATCTTAAAACACACACTCACACACACACAGATAACAAAAAAAAACAACCAGACAAGCAGTCCAATGCCGTAAAAGAGTTTACAGGCCGTTCCCTGAGGATGACTGTTAGAAATCTGAAATACGTTTCTTCAAAAAGGGTCACTGAACAGGCCAAATTCTGTTCTGAGACTTCAGGAGCAACTTACGTGATTAGAAAGGGAACTTTCCCAGGAAGACAGCTTTAATGTTTTGACTGGAAACAAATACTGGATACAACTGGAAGAGGAGGGAAGGTGTAACGTACCCAAGGCAAGAAACAGAAACAACAGCATGGATGGTTTGCAGCCAGAGGCATAGCTCCCAGGTGGTGCAGCTGCTGTTTAATTTCAGATTTTGCCTTCAGGGAAGTGGGGCTGATGGACCTTCTGCTGTATTTTTAAACTTCATTCTTTTGTGACTACTGAAAAGCTGTTCTGTCCCACATATCAGGAATTTCACCACGGCTGGATTTGGGGTGTTCTTCCCCTTTGGCAGCTTCTCCAAACCTATCCACCTACCACCCAGCTTTAAGAAACCTGAGAACTGCTCTAGTCACATTCTCTTCCCAGAGTGCCCATGCGTGTTTCAGATGAAAGTACCTGCTTTGCTCTCCATCCAGAAGGCAGTGATATGCAGCAATGTCTTTCTCTAGCTGCTGCTTGTTGGTCAGCAGATTCTCACGATCCCGCTGCTGCTGCTCAGTTTCTGCTTTGATTTCTGCCATCTCTGCCTCCAGCTTGGAAATGACAGAGCCCAGGTTCTGCAGTTCGATCTCATGCCAGTGCTTGGCATCGTATAGGGAATTCTCCAGACCCCTCTTCTATAAGGCCAGATATTAAAATAGTTTTAATATGCTTCAGAGTAATTTTTTTTCAGGTTTGGCCAATATATTCATTGACTATGCTTAAGTGGCAATCTAATATTATGAGAGTTTCTCTTGTTAAACTGTCTGAAAAACATGTATTATCAGTACAAAAGCTGAATCAGTTTGGTTCCAAGGTACTGGGCTCCTCTTGAAAGCAGGCAGAGGAGAGCAACAAAGCTTGTGACAGGGTTGGGAGGCATGTCCTGTAAGGAGGGGCTAAGGGCACTTGGATTACATTGTCTGGAGAAGGCCAAGAGGTGATGTCATTGCTCCCTGCAGCTCTACGAGGAGGGGAGGCAGAGGGATGTGCTGGCTCTGCTCCTGGGAACCAGTAGCAGGAAGGGAAGAAAACAAAGCTCCACCAGGGGAGGCTCAGACTGGACAAATACTGTGAGGGTGGTCAAATACTGGAACAGGCTTCCAAGTGAGGTGGCTGGTGCCTCATGCCTGTCATTGCTCAAGGCATTTGGACAATGCCCTCATAACATGCCTTAGCTTTTGGTTACACCAGGAGAGGTCATGCAGTTGGTCTAGATGTCACTGAAAGTCTCTTCCAGCTGAACTATTCTACCTTACAGAATACAACCTGCCCAGCAATCTCAGTGAAACTTAGTATTGAGTGTGGAGACACTGAAGACACAATGAGGGCATGCTCTCTGCAGAAAGCATGATGAAGTCACACAGAAGATAACCATTCAAAACCAGTGTTACCTACCAAGGTTCTCAAGGACTCAGTTTCGGCTTGCAAGCTCTGTATTTTGCAGGCAGTTTCATGGAACTCAGTTCTCAGGCCCTCTACCAGTTCTTCCTCTTGGCTTCGCACTGCAGCTGTCGCTTCAGCCTGTTGCTGGTGCAAGATTATGGCGTCTAGTTACAGTGTACTCAAATTATGGTTTAGTTGCCTTACATTCCAACATGACCATTAATATTTTTTTTTCAGTTTGTGGCAATTCTGATTCTGAGTTTGATCACTGTACATTAAATTCCATCCATTATGGTTTGGATTTACTAGTGTCTAGGCACTTACTGTAAAATGGCCTACACATGTAAGCATACATACTTTGTCTGTGTCAACAAAAGCTATCCAACATTCCTACTGGCAAGTTTAAAATCACCTATGAAAAGAAAACATTGCTGTAGTTATTCCTTGTCTTTTTTTTGTAGCCATACTATAACAATTTTCAGAAGTTAAGTGCTTTCATTTGGCCCATTTGATTTCAGATATATTCACACTGTGTTTATTCACATAGGATTCTATGAATCAGAGAAGAATTTATATCACAAAAGGCAGAAAAATAATTTCTCTTAATTGAGTTAAGTTACGCAATTTAATGCTCTTGTTGCTTGCCATTTTTTATATATGTTACATTCAGGTGTCTCTAATATTGCTGAAGGAGAATATACTTTAGCCAAAATAGAATTTCTGTACTTCTAATGGTCTTTTAAATACACTTTCATATACTTCTATGCTATTTTGTGGTCTAGGTTTTCAGGCCGTAGCTCTGGGCTCTCTAACAAGATTAATTGATTCTTCAGTCAAATCCAATCCAGATTACCACTGAAATTAAACCATGTATAATACTTCCATTCTACCTTGAAAATTCCTTTTGGTTCTCTTCTGATTTTCTAATCATGCATATTTTTATTGTACATGTTAAGATCAAATAGTAACAATAACAAAACATCATTAGGTATAAACTGTTTTTGTGCATAAATACCCATGAAAATCAACCCAAAATTGCAAGTCCACCTGGAAGAAAAAGTGAGGCAAAGAATAGATCAGAGATTAAGGAGTTTTCATCCTCTTTCAATGCTGCAAAAGTGAAAAGACAAATTTGTCACCATTTCGATGACAAAATGGTGTGACCCAGCAGCACAGGGAGGCTGGAAAAGGCACTGGTCATACTTAGCATAGCTCCTGTTACCTGTAGAAATACTAACAAAGTGTATTTATCTGGATGAGATACAAAGCTGCATGATCTGAGTTTAATTTGGGGACAAAAAGAACCCAAGCTAGAATGTTGTACCAGAACCTGTTCAAAACCAGAACTGTTCTTCCCAGAAATCTCTGATACTCTGGTTCTTTCTTCCATTAGAAAAGCAAATCAAAACAATTACAACTGCAACAAATCTTTGAAGTAAGAAGAGATCTGACTAAGGTGGTGAAGTAAGGAGGGGCCAGGCTTTGTCTGCCTGTCAGTTTCTCTGCCACATCTGATGGTGGCCTCGATTGAAATCACAGCTGTGGGACCAAATGGTCATTTTGAGCTGGCAGTTTTCTCTCCAGATCATATCTGTGAGCAGATGAAAGGTTGGAGGTACGAAGGAAATGGAGAGAATGAAGTTGCGACTGACAGTTTGCCCATACGGAGGAGTAATTAGAACAGAGAAGTGGGGACACTGAAGAATGTGGGTCCTCCAGGAAGAACTCTTTGTTGGCTCCTCTGCACTCCCTTGTACATTCCCTTGCATCTTAGATATCACTGTCATACGATCTGTTTTCCTCATTTTGAACGTAGACGCCCACTCAGAACTTGCATATGTCTTTGCAAACGTATTTGTTGCTTTTCTCTTTGGCACCACCTCCCCCTTCCTCTCCCATAGCAACTCTGTAGCAAAGGACAGATGAGACTGCATCTTTGCTAAATATCTTTGCAGCACAGCTGTAGTTATGAGTTGATGTGTCACTACCAATTCAGAATTAGATAGCTGTTAAAATACAGGATCATGAACTTAATGCTTCAGTTTGGACAAATACTTCAGTTGGGCAGGACAATGAGTGATTCTTTGTGACAGAGGAAGAGCTGCATTAGAAGGCTGGTTTAGATTCAGCATCAAGAGAGGAGACAACTTCCAAAGAGAATATCTATTATCACTTTTCATTTCCAGTTTTCCCCCTGCTGCCAAAGGAAACAATTTCAAGGAGAAATGCATGAGGAATGCGTAGCTGTATAACTAGCACAGAGTGAGGTATTTTGCCCTTTTGATTTATGGGTCTCTGTACATTCTCCAGAGAAGGAAAGGCCCCAGTAAGTAGGGTAATGATTGGTGCATCCTCCACAGGAGGTATCAAGTGATTAAGTTCATTTTTCTTAGCCAATGTTGCAGAGCCCTTAGAATCTCCCACAAATACCTGTGATACCAGCGGTGCCATTTCCAAACAAAAACACCAAAACCAAAAACGAGCCCTTGAAGTTATTGCAAAGTGCTGGGCAGATTTTAGGTTTGCTTCAAATCTCTAGACGTTGGAGTCACTTATGAACACTGGCATCAGTGCTTACCTTGGTACGGAGCAGGGCACCTGCCTCAGCACGATTCTTTTCAATGTCTCTCTCCCAATGGATTCGGATTTTTTCCAGTATGTTGTCCAGGCCACTTCCCAGAGGAACATCAAGTTCTTCCAGCTGAGATCCAGCAAGCTGTTTGTACAAAACCTTCACATCCTTGAACAATAATAACAGACATAAGAAAAAGTGAAATGGATCACTGAATGGTAGCATCAGAGAGGAGTTTGAGGAAGAGCTATTTTGGTGCCACAGAGAAATTAAACCTGGTCCCCAGTGGTGCCTCAGTGTTAGTGATTTAGTGCACTGGAGGGTTTCTTTTTCAGTGGCACTGGCTGAATGCAGAGGGAAAGGAGCTGCTGGGAAGCTGTCGTTTTCTTTGTGCCACATGTACAGGTGGAGAAGAGCATCAATACCAACTTTGTTTCACAATAAACACTGCAGTAATACATGGAAGTTTAAAGGGGATCTTGCACATCTATTCCAATTTTCCACGTTTTCCCTCTTATTTAAAAGAAATTCCATCTTTCTTGTGGCTTGCAGTGGTAGTGAAGCCACTGGTCACTTTCAGCAAAAAGCCAGTCCCGGGCATAGGCTCATGAAAGTGGGGACAGGATGAAGCTCTCCCTTGGCACCCCAACCCTCCACATGCCTACCAGTATTGCCAAAATCTTGTGTCTGGAAAAAATCAGCTAAAAAAAAAATCAGCTGAAAGAAATGTAAGGACAGAGCCTCACATCCACAGTACATCCCAATTCAATCTCTCATCTACTTTAGAGCCACCAGCACAACTGCTGACTGCCTCCTACATGAGTTGAGTAGCAGCTGCCTAATTGAGGCCCCATTGGTGAAGATCTGGGCCAGATGCTGAAATCCTTGCTGAAGGGAATAAACCACAGTCATGCAAACAGTGCAGGTGAACGTAATGAGTAACTGGGGATGTACTGCAAAGCTGGGCAATATGGCGATCCGCCTCAGCTCCCTGTTCCTGCTGCTTCCTTCAGCACACTGCTCGGGGGGTTCGGTTTTGGGAACTGGGCATTGTGCTCAGCTACATCCTGAGCCACACTGAGTTAGCACAGTGTCAGCTCAGCAGGACTGGAGCCAGTCCCCTGTACAGGCATTTTCTCTTTACGTCTCTGTGGCTGTGAATCTGACCTTTTGCTTCTGGGATTTCCACATTCAGATGTCCAACCTTGTGAACGTCTTGTCTCCTATCCAGCAAAAAAATGGGGTATGGACATCTGTTCAGTGCCATATTTATCAGACAGGAAAGAGTTGACACTCACATCTGTGTAACCTTATAATGCCTCAAAAGTTAGCACTGTAAATTAACAGAGAGGAGAACAGTAGGAAGTTTCCCCCATCAGGAGATGGCAGGTGCAGCGCTCCAGTGCTTGCTCTGCCCAGTGCACGATGCCAGCCACACATTAGCTCTGCAGCACCCCAAGCCGGGACTTACTTCTTCGTGAGTCTTTGACAGCAAAGTTAGCTCCTCTTTCATGCTTTCTATCTGGCTCTCCAGATCCATTTTAGTTAAATTAGCATCATCAATCACTTTGTAAAGGGAATTAATTTCATCTTCCACTGCCTTTCTGAATGGCTGTTCATTTTCATACCTGTAGAGAGGAAAATAAAACAGGCACAGCTCAGCAAGAAAAATGTGCATCTTTTTAACGACACCATTTTGTTAATTAGCTCTTGTGTCCCTGACAGGCACATGAGATGTGCTCTGCCTTCACCTTTGCCTCAACGTACCTTGTCATTAACACTGAGCCTCATGAAAGAGGCCAGCCAGCCAGCTGCGGTGCAGCAATGTCAGGCTGACACTGCTGATAAGCATGGGGAGGCAAGTTGTCTTCCACCAGGCCTGATGTTTGTATACCATATGAATACGTGTGGATTTTTCTGTTTCTCAGTGTGACTGCTGTGGCAGCTGCTGCCGCCTGCTCCTCCCTGCCATACTCTCAAGTCATCAGGACATACAGCACAACAACAGTGTGGTGTTTCTCTTTCTCTCCACTGCACACACACTTTATTTTTTAAACGACTTAAAATACGCTTGTAGCCTAGTGGATGTAAAGCAACAAGCAACAAAAAGACAACCCTATGAACATGACTAGTGCACATTCTGATGTGATTAAATAAAATAAAGCTGAGGGGAGAAACAGAAGTTTAAGGGAAGACAAAACTCATGGGAAATGGCTATTCGTAAATGTGCAAGTCCATTATGAGTAAAAACTAGAAGGATCAGGCCCTGTGAGTAATACAGAGCTTCATGTGTTCATGTACATAAATATTAGGCTTTACAAACAGAAAGACTTTTAAAAAAAAGTTGTTTATCATTACTTTGGATCTTCTTTCACTATTCATTTATCTCAGTGAAGAGAAGGAAAATAAATGCAGCCCATTTCTCTTCTGTTATCTGATGTTTCCACAGCAAGGTTTGTAGTGGTGCACTGTTTGTGTTTCAGGTGCTGCGGCAGAACAGCCAACAGTTCTAAAACCACGCTGCAGCACTGCAAATTGGAACTAAAAATCACACAAATGCTTGCCTCTGTAAAGTTTCAACACTAATCTGAATGAATACTGGCCTCTCAGGAAGAGATCAATGCCCTTATATCAAAGAATAACACTACACATGATTAGATTAATAAATATTAATCTTCAGAACCCATTTCAAAATAATGCTAGAATTGTAATTATTTTTCTGTGTTACAACAACCCTCCCACATTAGGTGGGCTAATAGTCACTAAGCCTTACAACCCCACTGAGTAAGCATTTGCCAAGGCAAAGCGTCAGGGAAGCTGGCCAGCCAGGTGCAGCCACAGGTCTTACCTGTCCTTAAAGTCTTCAGCAGAGGCCTGAATGTTCTCGGTGTGCAGCATGAGACGGGCGTTTTCAAGGACTGCTTCGCCCACCTGGAAGGGAGAGACAACACAGCTCAAGCCATTAGCACCTCACACAGGCACTACCTGCACGGCCCATCTGTCTTAAGCAGATGAACAGTTCTGATTCTGAAAATAATCTTTCAGCCTGGGGCTGTTCACATGACTCATTCCAGGTAATTTAAACAATGAGTTTTGTACATATCAATTCACAGTTCTTCTGCAAATTGGCTGTGATTTTTCACCGACGTGTTCGTTGCTCCTAAAGATTCATCTTCTTGTAGAAACACATTTCATCCTGACTGTCAGCTGGTCGCAAGGGGTAACATTCATTACTGCACACAGGGTATGTTCAGCATTTAAGTCCCACTTAGAGTCTCTAGATACAGTTTAAGGAGCACTTATGCAGCTCCTATTCTACTTCCCATATCAGCAGTCCTCCTCAGGGTCGTCATCTTCTGTGAGCCAAGGCATATTTGATGCTTGTGCCTTGAGCGAGTAGTCCTCAGTTCCCAGAGCACTGTTTTTCTTCTCTGATGGGATTGCATACGCTCTTGCTGTAGATACAATACCTGGGAAGCAGTCAGTCTTCAAATATTACTACAGCAAATGTGAAGAGCTTTGGAGAGACTGTGCCAATAAGACTGTGGTATCATTGCTAGGATTCTTTGGTGTAGCTTTAATCCCCAGGAGGCACTTGAGGGGCAATCAAATCTGAAAGGCTTGTGACACAGCACCCTGTTGGGATTCAAGAGGGTTATAGAAAATGATAAAAAAGGCCACAGCCTGCCCTAGAGCATCACATGCACTGGCTGAAGAAAGGTCCAATTTGCTATTAGGGTGACAGCAACCACTTAAATCAGGGGCTCCACAGGCCCGGCCATCTGAGACTGCTGCTGCACTCTAGAGGAGCTGAACCGAGCTTGAAGCCAGAGAGGCCATGATGAGGCTGAAGCTGGGGACCTTCCTGGAAACTCACTCAGTACAGACCCAGTCCCATTGTCTGCACCTCAATTCCTTGCCTCAGGGAGTGGCTGACATGTGACAGGGTTGGTAGTGAAGGACCAAGAGTGGGAGGCTGCTTGGTGCTACAGGAGCCTGTAGTGCTGCGACGGTCTGAGTAAACAAACATCTCTTTGGTCTGTTCCAGGAGATACATACAGAGATTTGTGGTTGAAACCAAACCACCACAGGAATAGGAGCAGATTCTTAAGTGAGCCAGGAAAACCCTATATGTAGAAATCTTACTTTGGATAATTAAGTCTGCAGCCATATGGGATTGCAAATCCCTTGAAGTGTTCTGTCCTGTTCTCCCAAGGTAAAACACACTGTGGAATATGGGGCATCAAGGCTGCATTCAGACAAGTCACCCCAAGTACTGCCAGTGGGATCTGTGCTGCAGTGCGATCCTTCTACCTCCTCCACAGCCTGCTGCTCAGTGAAGGGGGTGGAGGGGAAATGCAATGCCGAAACCTTGGTATGTAATGTGATAATTAACATCAGTCATTACAAAAAGTGGCCCGCTGCCATAAATTCTTACAAGCACATAGAGTAGGAGAGAGCTGGGGAATATGATTATCTTATTCCCTACATTGAAATGTTCTTGGTGGAGGTTTGGAAGTTAGTAACACTCTACATTTTTTAAATCTGAGGAGGTACTGGAGTAAAAGTAACAACTTGCTTACTTCTCACCTGCTGTTATAAGCAACAGGAAAAGATGACTGTACAATCAATAGATACATAATCAGCAGAGCAACATGGTTAGATTGGTATTCCACAGGTCATGTAATTAGGATTATCACGGTGGAAAGAGATAATCAAAAATAAATGAAAATGCTCACCCATGCCCCAGGCTTGCAGAAAAAACTCCAGAAAGAAACCCTTCCCCGTGGCAGTCAGCCCTTAAATGGGTCTAGGAGAGGGGCAGCCAGGCTCCAGCCCTTCCATCACTCAGCTGAATCGCCTTCACCTGTGCTCCATGGCTGACTCAGTGCTTGCCTCAGGTGATCAATCAGTGCTTCAGGCTGTGACACAACAGTTCCCATACAGTGGCCATGGCGGGAGGCCGATTCCTACCAGCTTTAGCTTAGCCTGGCTTCCAGAGGAAACAGAACTTGTGCCGTTACATGTTGAGCTGACAGTTTTTCTTTTATAACACTGGGATTTCTAGACAGAGGGGCTGAATTCCACAAATGTCACCAAGGGCCAATATAAGCCTCAGTTTAGGTCTGAGAAACCTTCAAAGCACAGAGTAATGTACAGAAGTCAAAGATGTTACAAAAGTTACAGGTGTGGGCAGAGAACATGCCTTGTGGGATAGCAGCCAGACCAGCCACAAGACCCTTTTGTGCTCTCCAGCACACAGCGATGGCTCAGTGTATGGGGCAGCTGAATCACGGCCTGAGCCTCTGGTTGACCACCTGAGGCGAGCACTGAGTGAGCCACAGGAGCACAGGTGAAGGCAATTCAGCTGTGTGATGGAAGGGGTGGAGCCTGGCTGCACCTCCCAAAGCCTTTGGGGCAGTGCTGTTGTGTCCCTTTTTTCCCCTTGCAGGATGGAGAAAAGGCCACATGGCAGCAGCATGGTTGACCCACGCACCACTGAATCTTCTTTCCTCAGTTTTAGAAAATTTGATCCTGGAATCTTTTTTTTTTTCCCCTTTGTTTCTATAGAAATTACTGCATTTTGTTCTCCTGCTGCCACTCATACATGAATGGATGAAGCTGATATTTTTTCCCTCACTCTACTCAGTGTAAATAAATGCTGCCCTGTGATTTGCCCTGACCTGCCAAAACAAGTCAATTTGCCTCCAGCTGTGAGCCCACACAGTTGCAGTATCTGACCGAATGTCTATGGAAAATGAAAGCCTTTGAGGAAAGCGGGAACATTTTGCCTGCAAATATGTACAGTGCAGTTCAGAGAGATGTTAATCACAACTGGAGAAGTTGAGTTCAGTGCAAAATGGCTCATGGTCTGCAATGGTAGCAGGAGCAGGAAAGAGCTGCTAATTTTCCACTGCCTGTGTTTCTGCCTCTATGCGGAGGCAAAATGTTTCTTCCAGGTGCTTTGTAATAGTAATCCTGTGGTTTTGCTGAAGCACTTGGGATAACCTGTTGGTCACAGCTGACCCCCTCCAGCAGGCAGTAAAAACCCCTCACAGACCTTCTGCTGGCACCAGATGCCTGGTGGTAACTTCAGGGCTTTGCATCATGGTACAAACCTGAACAGTGCCACAGAAATAAAAGCGGTATGAAAAAAGGATTCGGAAGATGGCAATCACCACTGTAATCAGCAGAAGTGAGCTGTGTACCATTTAAATGCAGCAGTGAACCTGGAGGATTATTATTCCATAAACCAAGTTTCATGAGAAATTCTAATTTACATGAGCCCTTTTACTGGCTTAAAAAGAGGAGGTGTAAGACTCCCATCTAGTGGCTCTCCCCTTTGATGTAGATCTCCTAATCAACAACTAGATCCAAACACATAGCATTATGTGAGACTGATTTGCAGTCACTCTGCTGACACACATAGGAAAAGATGCAATGCAGCACTTTAGGAAACAGCCTTGCTTGTGTCTGCAGACCATGGGAGGGCCCTGCTGGCTCCATTTGCAAAGCCCAAAGCAGGACTGTGCTGCCTCGTGGGGCTGCTGCAGGCTTTGCTCTCTGCCAGGATGGCAACTTAGAGCTCAAATACAAATAATAAAAGCTCCTTTAAGCCCCATGTTGTCTTTCTGCATTTGGATCTGTGATGCACATGCACCTTCTGAAAGTGTGTTTTTCCAGCTCAAGTTAACACTGAATATTTGTGATACGAAACAATTAGAATGCCTCAACCGTTTTCTGTAACTTCACCTTGTGGGTGTGAAAACACAACTTGAACTTTTAGCAAAGATATCATTTGAATAGAAGCTACTGATTCACCAGGCTGCACCGACACCCACGTTCACAGGGTTATGTCTGGCAGCAAGAAAAACCGTGTGCTTCGAGCATGCAGACTGTGTCCTTGCTGATGTGTGATGGCACTTACAGGCCAAACTTAGCCCTGGTGGCTGGCAGTTTCTCATTTTAGCAGAGACCTGTCCAAGTTTGGGACTGCACAATTTACCACACCTTCCGAATTCTTAGCTATGCTTTTTTAATAGCTTTGCATAGTTCTGCTGTTCTTACCAATGCCTGATGACTTTCTGGATGCTGCTGAGTCCATGGCCTCAGGTGTGATAACGAGTCTTATGTGTTGATTATTCATATAACAGAAAATCATTTGGGCTTTTAATTTTGCACATGATGCCTTCACAGGAAAACTTTAGGAGACCCTGGCTTAATCTTTCCTTCTACATGCTGAAATGAATGGTTTCTGTCAGACCATTGTCTCCAACACATTCCAGTTCAAAGCTAGGCCAGACTAAAGGCTCATGATCCACGTGCTGCTGCTCGGGTGCCAAGCACTGACGTTGCAATGCTTTTGGGCAGCCTCTCACGGCTGGGCCTGTTTTCAGAGCCCGAAAGAGAAAAGCACGAAAGTAGCAAGAGTGGCCTTTTTGTTGCGCTGCCTTGGGAAAAGTAGCAGCTGCATAGAGGCTGGGGAGATTGATGTGTACCCTGTAAAACTTGTAATGTTGCCTGCACACAAGGTTAAAAGCTAACAACCCCACCTCACAGCTGAATGTGAAGGTGGTTGAGGTTTATGCTGCATAGAATTGGTTATCCCATTGCACATGGGGCTCAGGCGGCATTTAAGGCATTCTGGGTGCAGCCCTGCCCTAAAAGTGCAGCACGCTAACAACACCCCCTCTTTCCTGAGCCAGAGGTACAACTCTGTGTTGTATACACCTGTGGCACAGCACAGAAGTTCTTGTGGAATGCGAAGCTGCCTTTCAGGCCTCCTGAAGACCATCCAACAGGGTCCTAAAAGAATTGCCCCCTCTAAGACTGTTGTAAGACATCAGGGGTTACGAGTGGCAAGACTATGGGCTGGAGAGCCAAAGAGCTGCAGCCTTTAAGGAGTGCCGAAGGAAGGAAACAGAACCTCATTCTCCCTGCAGCAGGACACCGGCAAGCAGAGCCCGACTGCTTCCAGCTCCTTTACTCCCAGCAAAAGGAATCAGGAGGATGTGATCCTTTGGGGCTTGTTGCTGGTCCACGGCATCAGTGTGAGCTTGGCACCCCCAGGCAGTGCTTCTCTTTAGAGCTTCCCAGGACTGCACAGCCTCTGCCCTGTGGGGATGCGGGAGCAGGGGATGGCCACGATGGGAAGCAAGGGGATGGAGTCGTTCATTTGCAGTCATGTAATGATTATTTTTCAATAAATAGAGCTTTTGGAAAACGTGATAAAGCAAACAAGGGAATAAAGTAAAAATCTGAATTGCTAATTAATAAAAAAACCGCCAACACAACCAACAGGCTTGTAATGATATCACGATGATGGATAAGCTAATTCGGTCCTAGCCGTTTCCTTTTAATAATTTTGATGCTCAGCTTAATAACCACAGCTAAGGAAGAAAAATATTAAAGAAATCGCCCATTTCCACGAGAGCAGAGTATGGCACTTCAGGGTGCATTTCAATCACTCCCATGCACAGGATGCCTCAGGCAATTCTCCTCCTTAATAAGCATTTTCCACGGCACGCTGCGAAATGATAAGGCTGTAATTATCACGAGGACAGACTCAACACCCTCCGTGTCAGCTGCACGCACCAGGTTATGCCGCGCTTCTTCCCAGCCCTGCGCTCACCTGGTGGTACACGGCCTCCCAGCTCTCCCGCAGCGCGCCCCAGCTGCCCACGCTGGAGGACTTCTTGTCCAGGTAGACTCGGATGTGCTCTTCCAGCTCCTGGTTGACCTGCTCGAGGGCCCGCACCTTCTCGATGTACTCCACCAGGCAGCCGTTCAGGCTCTCGTAGGAGAGCCCCCTGCCCTTCTCCAGCCCCGTGGCCAGGGGCACGGCGGAGCAGGAGCTGCGCAGGCCTTGCAGGAAGACGCTGCTGATGCCCAGTGCTCGGCGGGACACACGGGTGCCCAAGCTGCTCACTCCTCCGGTGGGCACGGCACCCACATAGACGCCGGGCGGCCGCGACAGGCTGCCCACGCTCACCCGGCGCCCCGGGCCCCCCACGCTCTCGGTGGCAGAGGAAGGGGCTTGCTGCCCCAGGAAGGACGACCGGCGCCTGGGCAAGGGCATGGTGCCGCTGTGGCCTGCTCAGCCCCGCCGCCAGCCCTGCACTGGCGGGAGGGATGTGCCGAGCCCAGCAGGTCGGGGTTCGGTGGGGCTTTCGGCTTTGTGCGACGGCTTTCTGGAAGGCGGGCTTTGTGCATTGTCTGGGCGGCCGCTGGGTCAGCAATCCATTTCAGGGGAAATCTCCCTGCTGCTGCTGCTGCAAATGTGGCAGATGAACAGCACAATGGTGTTTACAGGCACAGCGGGGCAGGAATTCATGAGAGCGTACGTGTGAAAATGCCAGCGGTGTTTTCTGAGCTGACGTCCGGATGATCTCCTGCCCTAATCCATCTATCCGTGAATTACAAACACACTAGCTGCTTGCTTACTCTAGACAGGCCCTCCTGCAGCAAGACATTACTTCAAGTTAACTAAAACCAACCTCTGAGGCGCCTGCAGAGCTGTGGCCATGCCCAGCTCATGTTTTGGTGCTGCAGGGACTTGAATCCCTCCTCATTCTATGGACAGCTTCTGGATTTCTCGGTGTTTTGGCCTCCCCAGGGAACGCAGACCTAGCCCAGCAGTCTCAGCTCGGGGGCAAGCACCCTTTACATCTCTGCTTGACTTTTAAGTACAAACACAATGAGATTGCTGGAGGTCAGGTTGGCACTGCTCCTTTGTGTGAAGCCTGTGAACACCGCAGCATCTCACAGCTCTGCATGTGGCTCTGAGTACTTTCTCAAGTGTAGTGGACTGAGGTTTCCAAGCAAACTGGACTGGCTAAAGGAGAGGAATCCTCCAGTAAGTTTGTATATTCCAGTGACAACTTGATTTGTTTCTTTGCCAACTTGTTCTCCCCTTATGCCCCCTTTTCAAAATACCCAGTAGCTGAAGATCTGATTGCTTTTGCTTTTTGCAAGATGCTCAGGAAACCTTTACTCTGTCACCTGCCAGCAGTTTGCAGGAGGATGTTTGGTATTTCATCAGGAGGATCACAGGTACCTCACTGCATGTTGCTTGTCCCACACCTTCCCTCATGCCTGTCCCTGTCCACACACAGTTGTGTCTTACTGCCTGCCCTGCAACTTCTGAGGGAAGCAGTGCATCACTCTGTGATTCCAAGTGGAAACACCCAGTATCTCTAACATTTCAATTGCATTATCTTAGGAAGCCTGGGGCCCACATTCACATCTGTGTTTCAGCACAGAAGAAACTCATGTGTGGGACAGGGAGAAAGGAGGGGTGAAGATGCCTTTATGGCCCCCAGCCCCTGAGGGAGCTGCATCTTGGTGCAATTCCTGCCATCGTAATCAATCTGTCAGATTGCTCTGGGGATCCACAGACACTGGGACTCTGCTGGCAGGTGGTACAGCTGGACAAGATGTGTCACAGTTAGAATTCCCTTTTCTGTTACCAGATGTGGCTCACTTCAGCAAGGCGTGTGGTTAGCAATGCTGCTCTGACCTTGCCTTGCCCGAGGTACCTTTCTGCTGATAACCTTGTGCAGCCGGTGGTGCAAAGCAGCCAGCCAGAGCATGGGGTAAGCTCTGTGCTGTCTCATAGCCACTCAATGAAGTCAGGAGTGAAAGAAGAAAGTACTCTACAAGGACCAATGGCCAAAGATGGATAGGAGATAGCTGAGGCCTCAAAGGACAGAAGCCACTCCACTTGCTGAGCAAAGTGAGAAAGGCAATCTGCAGAGCAAAACCAAAAATTGGTCCCGTGTTAACAGTTCAGGTTTACTTGAAGAGAGAACATCGATTTAGCAAAGTCATTCCACATTCCATGTTACCCTCTGCTTGTAATGGCCCATTTCTAACCCATCATTTAAGGTTCATTCGCCTTTCCTATTCCCACACTATTATTACAGCTTGCAATCTGGTGCTTAACTGGGTAGGACTGAAATGCCAATTTGCTCCAAAACACTGTGGAGATTTCTGTTCCTATGAAGGGGACACTCTACTTGCCTTCTTTGGAGGTTGTCTACTATGTGGGAAGTAATTCAGGACTCATTGGGCTGGAGAAGAGCAGCTGCATGTCCAAAGTGTAATTGTTAGGGCATTTATGCAGGAAAAAAGGCCATTCTGATCTCTGCTCTTGTAAAACACTTTCAAAGCTAAAAGTAGAGCTCAAGTCTTCCTATCTAAGAGAGATAGCATAAAAAAGTCACTGGGCAATGCTGCTACCCAGGTGGGTTGCCCATCTCCCGGACCCCATGGGTGTATTAGGTTCATTCATCATCCTGCTCTATCCCAGCTTTCCTGCTCTTTCCCTGCTGAGTTTGCAGACCCCAGTGGGATTCAGACTCTGACTCATCCCACTGGGTGCACAGGCAGAACTGGAGCCATGCACAGGATGCATGACAGGCATGTGAGCCACATGGGCTGCTACTGGAGACCACACTGGTCCTGCTCTGCCTGTATCCCAGCATGGCAACCTAAAGGAATGACCTAAGCCAGCTGGCAATACAGTGTAGGGAGGGGATGGTCACCAAGCAGGAACACATAGCCAGGCTGAGAGACATCACATAACTTCAGATTGCTCTGAAACCATTGCAGGATGCTATAGCAAACACACTGCCTGCATCAGAACTGGCTTTACCCAGTGTTCTTTCAGGCCAAGTAGATTTAGCAACAGGCTGTAAAGGACAGGGAAGAAAGCAGTCAATCCGACAGGTGTTTTGCTTAGAAATACCTTTATTTTATAAAGCCACAGTTTGTTCTGTAAAGTTTTACCACACTTATAAAAAAGGGGTTGACAATTCTGAGGGAAAAAGAAAAGAAAAGCTGAAAACATTTCTTGTAATTCAGGGTTACACAAAGGTTATATTTATAATATATATATTTATTTATAATTTGGAGACAGTAGAGATGAAACTGCAGGAGAAGGGTGGCCGTGGGCTCATATCTCAGAGACTTGCTCGTGGCCCACAAACAGCGTTTCCTGACAGAAGGGGTTCACGAGCACCATCCCGCTGTCGCGGTAGTCGCCGTTGGCAGGGGAGCGTGGCTCAGAGAGGTGGTCCTAGGAGAAGGGCAGAGAGCAGCATGAGCGTGTCGCACCATCGCCCTCCGGAGCACACAGAGCAGCCCTCAGGTGTGAGAAAAGGGCTGTTCCTTCTGTCCTGGGGCGCTCGGTCCCATCCCGCAGAAAATGCCTGAATTGTGGGGGGCTCCAAAAGGAGATCTAACCTCAGAGAGCCAGTTCTGCAGGCAGCGGGAGCCGTGAGTGAAGATAAGCACTCACTGCTCTGATAATCCTCTTTTCTCTGACAATCCTCAATTCTGCTGATAATCAGGCTGATTTTTTTCTCAGTAAGGGGACCCACAAATCAGACACACCAATCCAGTGTTTGACCTTCCACTTTTCTTTTTTTTCACTTTCATGACGTATTCCCACCTGACAGCATGGCTTAACTCGTGAAAGATGCATTTGCACTACTTTTTGAGGTCAGACAACCGAATAGATGGCTTGAAGCTACCAGTCCAGTAGCATTCCAATCAGTTTAAAATGATCACGTGGCACTACTGGAGGCCATGTGAATGGTCCTATCATGTGAAAGCTGCTGCTTCCTAAGTCTAGAACAGAATCCTGCTTCAGCGGGAGCTCCATGATTGCCAGCAAAGTGCCATTGATGAAGTGATCATGAGTGCTTATCTTGTCACATCTCAGAGATTTCTTTCTGAACACTTTTTTATTTCAATCCAATGAGTTAGTTAGCCAGCTGATCTCTTGAAAATCACTTCAGCTTAAGCTCAAACTCTTCACTGGTTCTAAGTTTTAAATACCTTTGAACTAAGCTAAATTATTATTTTCTGACTCCGAGGCCAGCTCGTATTTCCATCAGTAGGATCACCTGCCCATACAGGAATACTACCAGTGAAACACAAAGAACCCTTCAGGAAAAGCTGAGGAGTGTGTGCCAGCCCTATACACTCCCATATGCTGATGTTTGGATCACTAATGTACTGCAGGACTCTCTCTCAGAACTGGCACTTGAAAAACTGTAGGCTTATTTATTATTGTTTATTGCACCTTATGATAGACTTGCTGGAGAGAGGTTGAAGCTTTTTGAAAAGCTGTTTCCCTGAACATGCATAGAGATTTCATAGAATCACAGAATCACAGAATGGCCTGGGTAGAAAAGGACCACAATGCTCATCCAGTTCCAACCCCCTGCTATGTGCAGGTCGCCAACCAGCAGACCAGGCTGCCCAGAGCCACATCCAGCCTGGCCTTGAATGCCTCCAGGGATGGGGCATCCACAGCCTCCTTGGGCAACCTGTTCCAGTGCTTCACCACCTGCTGTGTGAGAAACTTCCTCCAGATATCTAGCCTAAACCTCCCCTGTCTCAATTTAAAACCATTCCCCCTTGCCCTATCACTATCCACCCTCGTAAACAGTTGTTTTCAGGGCTTTATTATATGACTTGCTCTCCTTGTCTCCCAATATGGCTTCAGTTACAGTTTTCAAGCACTAGTTATGCAAGTGAGGTACCTCTGATGTTTCCAGGGACTGGATCTCTCTCGGTAACTCCACAGCATGCCTGTTGAAGTAGTCCATGGTAATAGCATTATTCCAATAGCTCAGATTGTTTTCTGGGTTGGATGTCTTTTTCTTTCTCCTCATGCAGCAGACTGTCAGCAGAACTGCTGTTAACAGAAACGTGAAAAATTGGTTATTTCCTTTCAAGAAGGACTCATCAGTAGTGGGGATATGGCTTAAAGCTACTTAAAGAGAGAGCTGGTGACCTTCTTTCATACAGTTCACCCTCAGTTAGATCCAGCTCCAATCTAACAGGAACCACACAGTTAACTCAGGATCTGGCCCAAGAAGATGAGACTTTGGGCTTGGCAGGATACGTAGTTTTCACTTTCTTCTTGACATGAGTTTGTAAACCTTCTGATGTGGCTGCCTGGCTAATGAATAAGCTCTGGTGTTGTAATGGATGGCATTTTAACACCTAGCCAGGGACTGACAGATGCTCTTGGACAGAGGACTGCAAATGATACTTCTGCATAGATGTCTTCTGTTTCTGGCATGTTCAGACCCTGCAGTTGTGAGCAGAGGGCAGTGACAGACACTGGCCCAAGGCTCAAATACCAAATTCACAAATGCATGTAGTTGTACGTCCTCAACATCCAAAGCCCCTGCTGCTAATCCCTGCCCCAGTACCTCACAGACAGAACATGGAGCATGTGACCACTCCAAAACAGAGACCACCATGGGAACAGAAGTCCTGTACAGGATGAGACAGCAACTGAGGAGGGTTGGGGATCCCCTCTGGCACCTGCCTTGTGTAGCTGACATTTCCAGGGTAGCCCTGGCCCAAGCCGACCAGAACTGGGATCTTCCTGCCTGTCTACATGTGAATGGCGGCAGTGGTGCCAGTCTGTTTTCTGGAATTGCTCTCATTTTGATCATCTCTGTTGCAATTCAGTTTTGTAATCTCAGCGATTTTATGAGAGCTGGGCAAACCCACTGTAACAGACTTACTGCTCCCACTGGCCATTGCTCAGGCAGAATTTAGGTGCATACAAGGGTTTATTCGGAGGAGTAACGCAAAGCTCGGTGTGCTTATTTTATACCTGTGGAACAAATTGAACATTTGGGCTCGTAATCTACCTGATTTATACAGACAGACAGGTAGCTGGGTGCATACTCACTTTGATTTGTACCAGTGAAATAGGGAATGCCCTGCTGTAAATTCACTCCATAATTTCTAAACCCCTCATGATAGAAAAGGAAAAAATATTCATGAAGCAGGAAAATATGTTATTTTCTCAGCTACAGCTAAAATTATTTATTAGAATTATAGCCCGGGGAAAGAAAAGACTGCAGAGAGGTCAGAACTGCCTTGTATGTTTTGACAAACATTGCAGCTACCCATATGCCATGGATCTAATTTCATCTCCCATCTATTCACATAAAATGGCAATGCGAAAGTGCAAGGCTAGAGCTCTATTTAAAACAAAAGAATAAGCTACCAAGAAAAAATGGTAATAGGTTTGAGTCAGGCACTTCATGTCTCATTCAAAGGGAAAGGTGAGCTTATGCTATAAATCATCTTACAAAACTAATGGGAAAATCTCTTGCACAATTTAAAAAAAGGTGGCTATTATCAAACTTAGTATTATCCAGTCTGGGCAACAGTCAGCAACTGGTGCTGCTGAGCTCCTGTGCAGGCAGCCCCCTCCTTGCCAGCAGCACTGCTCTCTGCCTAGGGAAATGCTCGACCTCCCCAAGGGCTGCGTTTTCACCCCATGCTTTGCTGGGGCCCAGGAGGCTGCTCCGAGTCCCAGCCTTGTCTGAAGACTTGTTAGGATGAGAAAGTGAAGTGGGACATACATTTCATCCTCCCAGTGCTCTCTGAGGCACGCCGCCATTCTGAAGTTGCCTGAGGAGACGAGAGCCCCAGGAAAGCACTTTCTGTGCAAATATTTTGAAAACTCAAAGTTTTACAGCTTATAAAATATTGTGGCTGCTGACAGGGAAGGATTGGATTTAGGTTTTAGGAGCTGCAAAGCCAATGACATGAAGTTGAAGGAGGTCTCTGCTCCTTCCAGCAGGAAATGGCCTTGCCGTGTGAAGATGTGTTTGCCATATAGCAACTGTGCTCTCTCCCTTAATTATGCTCCTGGCCTCCAACCTCAGCGCATAAACAAGCAAATGGATGAAAGGCTGTAGAAAATAAGTTCCCAAACGTCCTCCAATCTAAGATATTTTAGCAGAAGGCTGTTTGCCTAAACTGCTTCCAAGCAGAGGAGACGGGGTTTAAGAGGGAGAGAAAGGACAGCAGGACAGCAGGGCTTGAAGAGGGGTGCTCCTCTTTCTCTCAAATTAACTAACCTTCTTACAGCTGATTTTAGTGAATCTAATGTAGCTCTTAGAACAAAAACAGGAATGGCGTACAGTTCACCTTTATTCTTGGATATCTATTCAGTCCCATGATTAGTATTATGTCTACTGTAGAAGACCTCTTTCCAGGCAGGCAGCTGTGATGGTCAGCGAGGACATGCTAAATGGATGACACACAGAAAGGGCAGAGATGGTTGGGAATGGAAAAATGGCAGCAACAATACAAGGGAGCTGGAAGAGGAAGGCTAGCTGCAATTCTCCTATTATCCCTGTTATGACATTCCCCTGTAAAGATGAGAAAGTGCTGCTGTTCAGTGCTGCATATCAACTTTTCCTCAGAGAATGATGCCCTTTGGGCACAGAAAGTTCTAATTTTGGTGTTCTGACACTCACCTGAATCCTTCCTGGGGTCAGGGAAGCTGTACTGACTTTTTGCTTTGGCTGCTCCATTTTGCAGTTAATCCCAGGTGCCACGAGAAGGACATCTCAGTGATGTCCCTGGGTCAGCCTGAAGCTCCCTGTACAATGATTACTATACATTTAGGAAACGTGAGGAATTTTGTTCAGAGAGCTCGGAAGCATTCTGAATATGTATCCACTGGCCCACTTCTGTTCTGGAGAGAGAAATGTCAACACGCACATTCAGGGGCTGAGAGTTGCTGATGCACTCCGGCTCTGACACCAGCTTCTATCTTGTCCTAGAGCAAATCATGTCAGCACTATCTGATCCCTTACCTCCGACACAGCACATGATGTATCCCACAAACAGCAGAAATGGGATTCTCACACTGTTATAGGTTTCCAGGCTGGTGAAAGCACACCAATCATCTACTCTCACCTGCACAACACCTGCACACCAGGAGACCTTTGCCTGGTAACTTTGGTCCCCTGCCCATAAGCTGTATTTCAGATACAAAACACGATGCAGGAAAACGCCCCACTTGGTTTAAGGATCTGGAGTGACTGCATTTCCATCACATTCCCAATAAGTTTGTTCAATACTTAATAACCGTCATGGAAACGTGCTTGCATTTCCCTTGTAGGCTGAGCTCCTCCAGCTTCAGCTCCACTTTCTCAGTCTCCTTTTGCCTTTTTTGTTTTAAAAGCCTCCACTATGCCATCAGCAATGTCTCAAACGTGTGGGCAACATCTCAAACCTGTGGGCTTAAGCCTTTGCCTGGACTGTGTAATTTCACAAGTGGAGTTATGTTAAATTTCTCAGCTCCTAAATCATTCATGTGGCTCCTTTCTGAACTTCAATTTTATTTTATTTTATCTTTTAAACATAAACTAGGATTATACACCATGTTCAATACTGGCTTTATAAAGCATCGTAAGGAAATGATACTAACTGCCTACAGTTATCTGGTAGCCTTGTGTCTGTTCTTTTAACTCACATAAACGTTACCAATGCCTATATAGCTACATACCCCCTCCACATACTCTCTGGCTCCACATTAAACACACTTGAATGCTGAAAGTTAAAATTCAGGAAATATTCAGACTGCGGGATGTTAGTTTTTTTCTCTGTGTCTGTAAATCATAGATAAACACAGCTTGTGGAGAATCCTCACCTTGATAGCTACAATAGCATTTTATCCAGATTTTCTTCCTTTTTTTCTCATTTACTGTGACTGTATCTTAACTGCCCATCATTAAGCACCTCTGTAAAAGCATGCCTGTCACTTGGGCTGTCTACAGCATTACAACCTCAGCTGTGTTGCAGGTAACCCAATGGGTTTTGTTACTGACCACCTGGAGACAAGGGGTCTCTAAGGCTGGGTCAGAGCTCATCCTTGAGGAGGAGACTCAGTGCTTGGAATCATTCTTCAGACTGGGGAAGCAAACATTTGCAGTTGTAGTGACTGAGAAAGTAGGTGAGATGATTTTGAAAGTGTCACAGTGTGTGAAATGTGACTGCACAGGGTTGGGTTCAAGGCAGATCTTCATCTATTCTTTGAGTTCTGCTGACGCTTCCCTTTGAGGCTCAGCCTTTCCCTTGTGTTTTCTCACATCAGCACAACTGACGGACTGAATTGACTTCTGTGCATCTGATTTACAGGTTTCAGTTCTTCAACATTTTATTGTGCCAGTCTGTAATTACAGAGTTCTAAGTTCTGGGAGCCCAAGGACCGTGCCAGTGAGTTTTAAAACAAGTTCATATGGAGCCTCATTCTGCAATGCAGCCACACGTGAGACAGGGGCACACACACGTGCAGAAGAATGGTCAAGGCTGTCTGAAAGCCACTGTGAAACTGACTGCAGCTGTGACATGCAGAAATTACTGGTATCAGTGTAATACAGCACTTTGCTTTTCTGGGAACATAATGATACGCTATCCTTCAGTTTTGCAGCCCTCAACTGGAGCAAGCAACATTACTCTCATTATTCATACCACAAAACTGAGGTACCGAAAGGTGAGATGATTTCCCCAGATTCACACAGCAGACGTGGCACGTTCCTTCCTACTCAAGCCATTACTTATCTGCCTAAAATGTGAAGGCTTTTCAGTGGGACTCAAACCTATGCATCTTTATGAGGACTAGGAGGCTGCTGTGAGGAGGCTGTTCCTGCTTAATGCAGCTCAGGTATAAACAGCACAGGGCTGGGCCTTGATGCTCTTAACACTTCCTCTGGGCGGCATCCCAAGGCAGGAGGACAGTGTCTTCTCAGCCCATGCTCACCACAGCTGTGAAGACCTCTCACTTAAAACACTTCAGTTCCTTGAAGAAGACACGAAACCCAAAGGGCTGTGTCTCTTATCTGTCTCTTAGCATCCAAAGCAGAAGTGAGGAGTGATCGCAGCGTGGCTATTTCTTCGGCTGTGAGCTCTGTGCCCTGGAGGTGGCGGCAGTCCCCTTCGTTGGTACTGCTGCACACCGTGTGCTGAACACTGTGCACTGTATGCTGTATGTGCACTGTATGCCACAGAAAACGTTTACGTGCCTGTCTACCACGCATTTTAGCTCTGAGCATCCCCAGATTTTAAAAGGAGAGTCCCACTGAAGACCCAGAAATTTGTTCTTGAAAGCACGACTTTGGTATCTGGATGGTGTAAAAACTCAGTTGCATTACAGGTGGTGTAGGTAACTGGCAAAACAACAATTACCTGTTCTAAACTATAGCTTTCAAGTACAAGAAGCAGGATAGATGCAGCCATACAAACACACACCATTTATGACACATACAATAAGAAGAAAAGTTCTCACCATATAATGAGCAGTAGGTTAGAAATCATGCCGTCAGACACTTAATCGTATTATTAATACCTATCCTGAGTTACTGGCTTATATATGGCACAATACAAGAAGGCACATACACCAATGGGCACATTGGTCATGCTTCCTCTGCTTGTGCTGCATTTTGCATTTGGATGCATTCTACTCAGCAACTTTCTTTTCAAGTTTCTACTTGCAACTTTCTTTTTCAATACTGGCCTCAAACATAGTGAAGGGAAGAATTTATTTATCCTCTATCTCTAGTGATTGATAGACAAAGGACTGTTCATTAGGTCATCAAATATTGCTTCTTATTTTCATGCTGTACTTGCTATAACCCACGTTCTCTTCTCCATCTCATTCTCCATAGAAGTATACATGCACACTTGTGCTTTTGTTTCACTTTGTTTTGATTGTCAATCTTTTAGTTTTAAGCCTTGTTTTGACCAGTAGTTTTAACCACGTTGGCAATAGCAGGACTGATGGCCCCAGGGGCACAAGCTTAATAGGTATGATGAGCCAATCCAATAATTCTCAGCTGCCTAGAGTATTGGTCCTGCTTCCTTTCCAGGTGTGCACCCTGCAGCTTGTCTGCTCCAGATCTTGTGCTTATTGACCTGCAGGGAGCTGACTCAGCCCACTGTGTGCGCAAAGAGCAAAGTGAATATTTCTGACCACATGAGCAACCTGAAAGTGGCTCAGAGAGGTGCCATGTGAGGACAGCACTCCCCCTTTGGGAAGGAGAATGCTCTGAGTAAGACTGACTCAGTCAACACATCTAACCGTGAACTCAGCACCACTCATAGCTGTAAATAACAGGATTAATGCTCACTATTGCTGGCAGCTACCCTTTCATTTTTCCACGGGCAGCAAAGGCTGGGAAATGCTTCTCCAAACAGATCAGTGTAACCACATCTCATAGCACACTGAGTGTCTTTTCCTTGGCTCCAAAGAGTGAAATACCGGAGACTATATTGTCCTACATTGCTGAAACAACTTTGCTAGGTAGGGGACACAACAGTGCCCACTCAAGCTTTCACATTGTTCAACAACTTTTTTTTTTTTTTTTCTTCTTTTTTTGCTGTTGAGACAAATGATGAGACCCTAAGCCAGCTCTGGACACTAACTGATGCTGGTCCCTCAGGTGTCTGATTCCTGTGGTCTGGAAGCCAGCACTTCAAATTCTTCCTGCTGCTGAGGCAGTTCCAGGTCAGACAATTAAAATGGAGGGAAATAACGAACGGGTTATCAGAATGATGTGACTTTAAAACTGATGGTTCACAAACTGCTTGCAATTAAATATTTCATTGCACAGGTAAAGCTGTAGTTCCCTAAGGTACCAGTCATAGTAATTATCATTAATCTTTTGGGTTAGCAGTGGGCTTTTAAAAACCAGTTCCTGGGCAGAATGTAGCACTCAATAAATCAAACAGTTGCACGATTTTTGGTCACCAACTCAAACATTTTGAAGTAAAACTGCTTTGCCTTCTACAGTTGTTCAGCCTTTGCCTTATACCCTCATGCGGAGAGCCCCCAAAGACTATGTGATTTCTAACAGCATCACAGAAAGTATGCTTTGTGTGTAAGCATTATACTCCTGCACTTGGAGCTGCTCTCCACATGCACTTTGCTCAGTGAATAAGTTAGAACAAGTCTGGTGACTTCTTCTCATCTATCTCAGTCTATCCTGACACTGTTGGCACTTCAACTACACCATGAATGGCTCGAAACCTGAATTCCAAGGAATGCGAGAGAGAAATAAAGCAGCAATTAACTTACAACATGAGGATATCGGTACGCTGATGGCCAGAATGATCCAGGCAATGTCCATCTTGCTGAGACAGATGGTAGCTCTGTGCTGGGGCTTGTCTCCCTCAGTGACATGGGAGATATTTCCCTGCACCCCAGGTTTCCAGGTCCCGGCAGGAACCAGCCTGTTGAGGAAGTTTCCAGTCGCGGTGGAACCAGCAGTGGACATGGAGCTGGATGACCCCGTGGCAGGCATGGTGGAGACAGTGCTGCCCAGTGAGGTTGTGTTCGTCACCAGGCCCTGCTGTGTTGGAGCAGTGCCCTCGAGGTCCCCCACTGCCAGGGAGGAGATGTTGACATCAAAGCTGGGCTGGACTGAGTGACCGGCTGCTGCTGGTGCAGTTCCAGGGCCAGAAAACAAGGGGACATTTGTACTGAGATTCAAGGTTACCCAAGAGTTGTTTTTGCTCAGCATATCCCATACACCATAGTGGGTGGGTTTAAAAGGCACCGACACTGCTTCGGGATCAGTTGGCGGTCCAGCAGTTGTGGTGGCAAACTCTGCTTTCTGCACAACTCGCTCGGCCCCATTCCCTTGCTCTACTTCCCTAAGGCTTCCCGAGGTGTCAGGGTGGGGAGAAAGGTCTGAGGGCGTAGTTCTGGCCAACCCTGTGCCATTGGGGTCACTGGAGGTTGCGGTCTGGGACTGAAAGGGATGGTCTGTGAAAGGGCTCCTCAGGGTAGGGAAGGGAGAGTGCAGGGTTGTCTTTAGGTAAGGTTCTGAAGACTCTGTGAAGTTGCCTTTGAAAATCTGGAATATTTTCCCTTTGGGGCGAGTCTGTCCTGAGTACAAAGCACTCTGGTTATACAAATGATATGTTTCCTTTTCGCCAACACGAGGGCTGCTCGCCTGTGTTTGAGCAGTGGAAGCATTGCTCCCTGCCAGGCTGACAGGATGGGGGACGGCGCGAGCGGAGGTGGGGACGGGCTCTGCCGTGTGGCGGTCCTTGTGGCGAGGCGTCGTTCCCATGGCTGTGACAGTGGTAGTGTCCATCAGGAGGCCCTGAGAGGAGGATACAGCAGGAGACAGTACCTGAACAGAAAACACCAGCTCTTCCGTCAGTGCCAAGATCAGTAGAACACCTGGAGGAAGAAACAGAAAGGGTGAGACACAGGGGAGGGACAAGAAGATGGAGGACAGCGTGGCTGTGTGCTTGTGCTTTGCTCCTCCCAGATGACAACCAAGCTGGCAGGAAAGCCTACCTTCCTTGTGCCCCGGAAAAGAAGAGTTAGTGCCTCTGGGAATTGGAAGAGAAATAGATCTGCAGTGTAGTAGTGAGATGGGAAGGAGAAGGCTGCACAGAATCTCTGTGGTGAAGGAAGAAAGGGGCTTGCCATGTGGGTATTTTAAAGCATCATACATAGCTGTAGGTGACCCCCATGAAGAAGATACAAAGCATCCTACTCTTCAGTGGTAGAAACAAAAGATATTTTCATCTTTGTTTTGGCCAAAGGCCTCCGGATGAATGGCCATATCATGATGGGGAACCTTAGTCTGCTCATTATTTTGGCTGCAAAATCCTAAAGTTGGCTGCGTCCAGTCTTGGATGCCATTATGCAATCTGTTCTTGAGAGAGCAGCTGCTTAGCCCTCACTGAAAATTAGGTCAAGAAGGGATGTGCTATGAATGGACTTCCTAGCTTATGATGCACCCTTAGAAACTTGGGAAATCTCATCTCTGATCTCAGAGTATGAGATGTGGAAAATCCACAAACGTCAAAAATAAACAAGAAAATGTAACTAACAAAGACATTTTAAAAAGCCATGTGATTACTGAGGATTGAACCATCTAATACAACTGCCCCTTTTCAGATACTCACACACAAATTTTTGTTTGGGTCCCGTTCTATACTTATAAGTGCTGTGGGATTTGATTCTGTGAGATTTGCCTCCCACCTGCCTCTGTAGAGCACGTTGTTTCATGAGGTGCCAGATTCACGCCACTGGGAACATCGATTCTTACATCTATTCAGAGTCCAGTTAATGGACATGGGCAGCTGCAATAGCATAAGGCTCTCCAGGACGCAGGGCTAACATGCTCTGAGTTAGTGTGACCTGCAGGAACCACATCAATCACATGTCACCATTTCCATATGTGGAAACTGCCAAGTGTCATGCAGACCTCTGCCCACTCTGCACAAGGGATGAGTCTGTTTTGCACAGTCCACTGAGCATCATCAGATGGCACCATTAGCACACTACTAGTGTGAATTTCAGCCCAGGATCTCAAAGGAAAAGGTGACACTGTCTTAAAAAAACCAGGGAGATAAGTTCACCAGAACTGCAGGACCCCAAACAGGGTAAGGATCTTCCAGACAAGACTGTAGAGTGCCTGCCTGCACATTCCCCACCCTCTGTGCCTCCAGGTTTGCCAGCTCTCCCTGTCAGTGTTGATATGCCATTTACTTCTACCTTACAAGGGAATACCTGCAGTGGGCACCAGCAGAACATTGGAAATGGGAATGGGGCAGTCTCTGATCAGGTGCCCACTGGGTCTGAAGGCTTAGCCAGAGGCAAATGCCATGAAATGTGTGTATTCTGACTCAATACACGTAGCAGAAACTCACCAAAGGAGCAGTACTTATCCCTCTCATCCAGCTAAGAGCGATGCTTTGATCACCAACCATCATTTCTGAAGCAGAACAGCACGGAGCTCTACAACCACCAAAATTCACCTCACCTTGCCACAGTTGCCTCCCACTCCTTTGCAGGGCATCCTGAAGATCTGAGCACTTCAAAGAACACTGACTTAATAGTGCAGTGAGAGCCACTTACAAGCAGTGCACTTTCCCAATACCTGATGCTAAAATTAGCTCATATTTTTTTATTTCTGAAATAAATGCCTGTCGAGTAAGTGATCCTTGGGGATACCGCTTCAAAATTCCTAGCCTATCACAGACAGTATGCTCATAAAAGAATGCCTAGTCAAGGAGAAAAACATATTCTGTACATTGAAGTGCAACCCAAAGATCAGATTGTGGTGTATTCGTGGAGCATCACTTTTGGAAATGAAAGGCAGGAGTCATCTTCACATTTTTGGCAGCACTCACTCTGAGGTCAAGGTCAAAGCAGATATTTCTGTGTCCATATGGCTCGTATTGCATGCCAAGACAAGTTGCTGCTACAGAACAAATACGAAGAGGAAAGGATGAAAAATTATTTTGGGTTTGGTGTGTGGAGATAATGTTTCAGGAAACTTTAGGCCTGCTGTTCTGGGCACACATGACACAGGGCACTGGCAGATCTCAGGACACACGAGATTGCAAGGATTACGGCAGTCTTTGTGCAGCTACTTTCCTTCACACCTCACACAGAGAAAAACCTCCGTATTGGATTAATGCTTTTTTATTTTCTGCAGGATATTCCTCAAGTAACAAGGAAGCAGTCACCTCTTCTGCATGCTGTGCCCCGAGGTCAGCAACCCTCATCTTTGGCTAAAAGCCTACTATCCATCCCTACCACTTGAAATGCAGATAAATCAAAAGCCTGCAGCTGCGAGTGTTTATGATCTCTCAGGGGCAGCCTGTTGTGGTAGCAGGCCGCCATGCATCAGGCCTGGGAAGCCACATACACTTAGCTAGTACCTTTATAAGACTTGTAAAATGTTAGTAACTATTCAAAGGAAATGCTACTCTGTCATAAGCCACTTATTTGACAATAAAAAATAACACTGATAACATTCGGCTCTCTCAGGCTGTGACAGTCAGCTTCTGCTTGTCTGCTGGCCTCCCTTTAACAGTCCCTGCAGGACCACCACGGCCCCATCAGCTGCAGCTCTGTAGGACATTTTTATACTTGGATTAGCAGGCAGCAGTAACTCTCTCAGAGACAACCAGAGCTAATGTGTGTCCATAACTACTTAAAACATATTTGGCTTGTAGATCATTGTAAAAATAGCTGGTGCTGTATATTTAGGGAAAACCAGCTGGTAATAATGACTTCACAGTGGGCTCTGCTGGTCCTTTTAAGCAGAACTGGCATTCTAATTGATAAACAGCCAATTGGAAAGCAAAAGTGAAGTTGGAATCCGTATGTTCAGCGCCATCCATGCAGGGACATCTAAGCATGGGCTGCTGGGATTTGCAGTTGCCTGGGTGCCCAGAGCTCTGGCTTGGATTACTTGAAGGTACAAAGGGAATATTATTATGGTCCCTGATATCAAACTTCCCTGTTTGGCAACTGTGGCCTGAGCCCAGGAAAATGGTTTACTGAATTTCTCTACCAAAGCATTCATCACAGAAAGGGGCTTAACCAAACCCTCCAGACTTCCTCCCTCCCCAACCTTGCTCTGCGTCTCAAATGGCCCTGCACTAAGGATCGGGCCCCCAGCTTAGCCACGAGCAGATTACCACTGAAATGAAACCTATTGGTTGGTATAAAGTTGTCATGGCCAAAGCGATGACATCCCAGATGATACAGTACATAGGCAGATGGTCTTGGTCAGCTCAAAGCCCAGTTCTGCAGCCTTTGCCAAAATCCTCCAGTCCCGGCTGCTGGAGACTCCTCGGTCTGACCTTACTTAGGACACAAGCTCTTTGAGGTAAGAACTGGCAGCCCTTTCTATATGTTGCCATCATGTGGCAATAAAGACTGATATAAGTACGTTATAGCAAAAAATAATTAATAATTATATTTTCAAAGGTCAAATCACATCACTAGTTTTTGGTGGTTTTTTTTTTTTTCTTCAGGAAGGGCCATTTCTAAGTTATAGGAGGAGCTCATGCTCAAGAGGGGTCATAGTGGTTTGACTTTTAAATGCTGCATGTCAAATTCCCACTTTTGGAGTTCAAATTTATGACTGCATTAAAACCATTCAACCCTGATGAGAAGGTTCAATGGCCTAATGTCTCAGCAGCCTGAACTGTGCCATCCCGTGTTTTTGCATACAGTACCAAGAATTGAATGTTAAGTACAAAATAAACGGACTCAAGGATGAAGCACAGCAGAGTGACAGTAAAGCGTACAGAGAGGATCAGTGTGTGTTTAGCCATAAAACACACACATTTATTGACAACATGGTGCAATGGTTCCAGTCTCAACAGGACCTTACTGCAGTGCTTCTTCCCATTGTATTCTCACAGGATGAGCCCAGAAATGATGTGTACAGTTTTGCACATCAGAAAAATGAAGAAGCTCCCACAACAGCAGTTTTTAAAAAGACTGGACTTGATGTCCTCAACAATATCAAGGAAGCTAAATGCCCTTTAGAGATAGGAGCCAGGGCTGAGTTTCTCTGAATCAGAAAAATGAAGCAACTTAGGCCCCAGCAGCTCAAGTTCTTTCACCATTTTATCTCAAGACCTCAGCAGTCCTTGCCAGTATGAGGTCCTGGTTTCAGGTGGGAGTTAGTACCTCTCGGTGCTGCACTGGCTGTTTTGTGGGCACACTGTGTGCCACCATTCTGCATGGGATGGCAGCCGTGTGTGCAGCTGCCAGGTCAGCTCTCGCATTCAGCCTCCCTGGGGCACCACCGCTAAACAACACAAACTTATATAACTCATGATCTGAGCCCCATGGAAAGGTTCCCAATGGCTTCAGCAAGCTTTGGACCAAGCTCTAATTGCTGAAGACACAGTGGAAACTTTTGAGCTGCACATTCACATTTTCTACAGCCAATGAATATGCACAAAGGGCTCAATCTGGCGCTTGACCCTTTCTGGCCTCTGCTACCTCAGGCATCGCAGCAAGACAGATAAAGCCACCCTGAGCAGCACTTGGCAAACATTTTTCCTCTAGGAAGTCAGGAGAGCTTTCTGTGCAGATACGTACTGCTGGAGTCATTATTTCACACTGCCGTGGGCAAAGGAGGCACAGGGAGCAGCTTTACAAAGGACCCATTATCCACGGATCCTGGGGCCAGGACGCACGTGGGCAGTGTGCAGGATCTGGAACTCCCCATGCTTCTGACCACCTCATCACACTTAGTGATGGTGAGGGTCCTGCAAAGCCTGCTCAGAGCACCAGCAACATTATTGTTGCAGAGAAAGCTTTCTTCCCAACACAATTAACATATCATGCAGCTCTCCGCAAACCCAAAACATTATAGGCAGCAAAATGGATCGTTAATAGGTGGAAACTGCATA